GCACATAAAATCAACCATAACATGTGCCACAATCAAATAGGCCTATGTACGATAATTCTAGATCATTTGATATATTTATGTGTCCATGCTGTTTTATTATATATATATAAAAAAAAAATTTAGGTAATTATTTGATGCATATAGAATTACCAATGCAATGCATGTGAAATAAGAGCGGTAATAAATTATTGAGTGGTTTTTGAGGTCGGCACCATGATGTCAACCAAAATAAATATATAAATATCCAAAGAGAATTGGGGGAGGAGCACAGGCTACACAGCCCAAACTGACGACGTCGTCTGATTACAATCACCCGTCCCTCATCAAAATCTGAACCGTTCAATAGTCCCGCCATTTCTTTCCGCCGGACGGAGACCACAATGACGTTTGTGCCCTAAGTACTTAACGAACTCTGCGTCTTGAAACAATCACAGTGCAATTCCTCTCGGTCTCTCATACATTCTCTCTCTTAATACACACAAAGTATATTACATATATTAATATATTTCCAATTACCGGTTTTCTCCACTTCAATCATGCCCTCCGCCGCCGTTGCCAACGGTTTCACCACCGCCGGAAAGTCATCCACAAGGTCGACACCAGGCCTTCTCTCTTCAACTTGCAGTGAAGTCCAGAGGAGCCGCCTCCAATTCGTACTCCCTCTCCCTTCCGTCCTCAAGAACTCATTCAAAATAGTCGACGGTTCACCAAGCTCCTCCGCCGGAAGTCCAGGTAAGGCAACGCACGGGACTCTTGCGATCACAATTCACACACACTGATGCGATTTATATTCACAAGGTTTTGATCTACTTGTAGATGAAATCGCTAAGCTTTTTCCCAATTTATTTGGACAACCGCCGGCAATGCTCGTGCCTTGTGGTTCGACGGAGGCCTCGCCGGATCGGAGTTTGAGGATTGGTGTACTGCTCTCCGGAGGACAGGCCCCTGGTGGTCACAACGTGATTTCGGGAATTTTTGGTAAGGCTCTTGTTTTGACTGTTCTCCCACAGTGATGTATTTGATGCGTGTAATATATATATGTGTATGTATAAACTTTTTGATCTTGATTTGCTTTGTAGATTACTTACAGGCTCGAACAAGGGGTAGTAAATTATATGGGTTTAGGGGCGGTCCGGCTGGGATCATGAAGTGTAAATATGTTGAGTTGACAACAGATGTTATCTATCCTTACAGAAATCAGGTGAGGCTTTAGGTTCTGTTTGGTTCCATTCAATGAAACTCATGTACTGTTTGTGGAGATGATTTTTTTCTGCAATAATTTTGTAAAATAACTTATGCTGGTACATCACAAAAATCTGTACTAGTGAGCTGCGAGAGCAGGGGATTACATCCCTGTTAATGAATATACATGTCATAGTTTAAATTTAATTGTTAGAAAAATTACATAGGTCATTTTTTTTTTTTTTTTTTTTGTAATAAAATGGGATGTATTACTTTCTCATCACCATTTAAATTGCCGAATTTGCCAGATAACCGCTAAGGTTTTAATATTTCCATGGTTAGATATATTGAGTACCTCATGTGCACATCGCTTATTTTAAATTTATTTTGAAGACTTCTTTTTGCAGCATATTTTTTTTCTATATATTATGATTTATATTTTGACTCTGTTGACAGGGTGGCTTTGATATGATATGTAGTGGCAGAGACAAGATTGAAACCCCTAAACAGGTGATTTTTATCGTTTTCACATGCATCATTTTCCTTTTCTTTTCATTTTTTGCCCTTTTGTGATTATGGTTTGTCTCGTAATTGATATCTGCATAATTTGTCCTCTTCTAAGCTAAATTTTTCGAAATGTAGTTGTTGATTTTGTATGCTCATGCCTTTCAGTTTAAGCAAGCTGAAGAGACGGTATTGAAGCTTGATTTAGATGGGCTTGTTTTCATTGGTGGAGATGACTCAAACACCAATGCTTGCCTTCTCGCTGAGAACTTTAGGTATAATTTATATCTCTGTGGAGCAATGATGTGCTATCTATGTAACCATGCTGTAATCATTATGTTGGTGTTCGTTTATATAGCTTGAAGCAATTTTGTTTATCTTGTGTGTTATAGGGGTAAAAATATGAAAACTCGGGTCATTGGGTGTCCAAAAACCATTGATGGTGACTTGAAATGCAAGGAGGTTCCCATAAGTTTTGGATTTGATACTGCATGCAAGGTAATTACTATTTTTGCTTAATTTTTCTCTTTTAGCTTGTATTGATGTCTGGTTCTTTTCTAGTTTTTTATAGTAGACTTGTAGATGGAGAACCAACATTTTCCCTCCATGAATGCAATCCAAACTTGTGTTCCGTGTCTTTTATGCACTTGGTTTCGTTGCAAGATGCAACCATCTGTGCAAATTTTCATTTAGGGCATTGCAATGCCTACTCATAGATGTTCATCCTAACATAATTTCACATAATTAATAACAGTTCCATGTAGACAGAATTCTGAAGCAGCGACCTAAGGCAAATGTTGGTTTGAATGATACATAGTCCAAAACTGATTTAAAAAAGAAAAAAACCATATCCCTCCTTTGGACAGCAAGGGTACCTACAAATAATCTGGCAAGAGCCGTTGACTATACTTTTATGAATGTTTATCTAATTACTGTTATGAACTCATAAATATATGTGGAAACGGAAGTTGAGAAAGTTACTAAATTTGGAGAAAAAACAATCAGAACTTATTTAGGTTTCAATAGTCTTGAAAAGGCTTCACCTCTGAAAGATTCTTCCGGTGTTAAAATGATGATCATGTTTCCAATCACATATTTTCCCATCTTTCTTTTTATTTATTTATTCTTTCACCATTCTCTTTTGGGGCACTGGCATATATACTGCGACAATTTTGTAACCTGGAAGACAACAGCAAATAGCACTGGACTCTATCCAACTCATTGTGTCTACTTGGGAGATCTCTTCAAGATATCTTTGAGTTGCTTTGCCACTACGGCTTTATAGATTCTCAATACCTTTCTTGCCTTAATTTTTTTCTGAATTAGGAAAAAATGATTGTATACAGAGACTCCAGCGAATAAAACCGAAATTTGTTATTAATAAATGTGATGAAATGCAGATGGCCACCTCAGTATGATATGAATAAGTCCACAGGTTTCATTTTGGAACTATTTAATCAAAGCCCCCAGATTTCATTCACTTTTTTCTCCTTGTCTGTGTGTGTGTGTTTTATTTTTATTTTTTATGCAGTCTACACATTCAGTTATTTTATCAAGTATTCAGCTATCAAACTTATTAACTGTAAATATGGTTGAATTCGTATGCAGCTCTCTTTGTGGTTGTGTTTTGATGTTGGTGTATGTGTACTGCGGGGATTTTCCTTCAATTTTTTTGTGTACTGCAGACTCAGTTGATGGTTGAGTTCTTATGTAGCAGTTTCTGCTTGCAAAGATATTATCTTTTTCATAATTCTGTAATTTGCTTTTAAGAGCACTTTTTAGTTTCTTTTGCTTTTAATCTAGCCATTATCATTCATCTGTGGATTTAGTTTCATAATCAATTATTGCGAGATCGTGTATGACAGAATTGTACAATTTTTAAATTGACATCATACTACTGCTGTCAAGCTTTTAATACTGTTCTGCCCTTGATCTGATATGCAGATATATGCAGAAGTTATTGGAAATGTCATGACAGATTGTCGTTCAACTGGAAAATACTATCACTGTGAGTGCAATAAGTAGAGCGTATATTAGATGAGGGTGTTATCTGCCTTCATGACCTTCGAACCGTGCAGTGATTTTGTTTTGCATAGTAACTAACGCATTGTCTTAGATAGACAACAATAGAAGTAAGCAGTATTTCAGTAATAACAAAAGGTTCTAGTTACCTTTATTAAATCCTTACTTTTTCTTTTTGTCGTTTTTCCTTAGAAACCAACCATTTTTTTTTCCATTGGAAAGAAACACACCCACACATCCACAATGCCCCTATGGGGACTTGACCCTCAATCTTCTCCTTAGATATCATTATTATATATTCTCATATTCTGTTTATTGTTTGAATACCTCCCTTTAACCTTGCTTCTTTTAGAGTTTATTGTCTTCACTTCCTTCAGGATTAAAGAATAGTTTGTGGAGTAGCTGTGTCATATACTTTCAATTGGCACTTCATTTTGTTGATATATCACCAACTGATCAAATTGTGACCCTTTGGTTGTTCACAGATATATGCAAGAGCGTGAAATTGTTAATTTCTTGATATACTTGCATTCCATTCAAGTTTTGTCAAATGCCTCAAATAAAATAATGGTACAACTTAACTCATTGAAGCATTGTTACAACTATTTGGGCTTGGCTACAAATATATGAATCTTGTTTCACATTTCCACACAGTCTAAGGCCAGACTACACTCGGTGATAAGAAATTTGAGAGAAATGAACTAGTGATAGATTATATTATATCTTCAGGTATTATATTGAATGGTCATTTGTTTTGTAAGTTAATTTTTTTCCCAGTGTGACTGTTGTTCTAGCAAAGACCCCCCTATTCCCAAGCACCACATTTTTTCCAAATTAATATCACATCTTTTACAGCAATTTCATTTCATTTTCTCATATATACTTTATCCTTGGCTTTTCATTCCGTTGTTTCTCCTAATTTTGTGCCTCTGCATTTGTATACCTTCATTTGACGACAGAGGCTTCATGCTTTATTTTCTTTTAAGTTGTTTACCTAATCATCTTTTATTGCAGTTATAAGGCTTATGGGCCGTGCAGCTTCTCACATAACATTGGAGTGTGCTTTGAAGACTCATCCAAACATCACAATTATTGGAGAAGAGGTACCTACTAAGCTGTTCTGCTACTTTATTTGGTAAAGTGGACCTATAGGTTATATACTTATTGCAGGCTGTAGATCATTTCCGATTACCTATTATTGATTCAAAAGAGTAGAAAATTATCCTTGTCAGTAAACTGCAAACCTCTGCTTTCATATCTTTCATACGATTAAAGTAAAAAAACCGGCTGGACTCAGCTGGCTAGTTAAAAGCCTTTGCTAAGTTTTTATTCATCTCCTATTTCTATTTCGGGATATGTCAAAATGGTCAGAGATTGTCATGAGAATTCTAAAAAGTCTTTTGTGGTCTTGCTACCTCATTGTGATGGAAACCTGAAGTATCCTTTGGTGACTATGGGGAGATATTATACATTTTATACTTCCGAATGGAAAATTCATGAAATTCTGTGATTTAAATGACCCAGTATCAACTGTTCCAAATTATTAAATTAGCTTTGGTAAACATTTTATCTTGGTGCAGGTTGCGGCCAATAATTATACACTGAAAAATGTCACAGACTACATCACTGATATAATCTGCAAACGTGCAAAACTTGGATACAATTATGGCGTCGTACTTATACCAGAAGGCCTGATTGATTTCATTCCAGAGGTATATATAGAAGTAACATATATCTCTGTGACTTGTAAAAAGAATGCTGGCAGGGTTTTAAAGGGCTTTAGTTATATTTTAGATATATGGAATTACTTTCCGTTTGGGCTTGTTGATTTGCAGGTGCAGCAGCTTATTGCTGAGCTTAATGAAATCCTAGCCCATGATGTCATTGATGAGGCTGGACTGTGGAAAAAGAAACTTCAGTCTCAGCATCTTTTTGATTTTTTACCCCAAGCAATTCAGAAACAACTGCTGCTAGAAAGAGATCCACATGGGAACGTACAGGTATTTACTCTTCTTATTGTTTTTTTTTTGGGTGCATTCTTCTTATTGTTGTATACATTTATAGGTGCCTCTAGCCACTGGAAATTGTTGATCTATTTCTTGTAATATTTTTTTTTAATATATTACATGCTATATATGTTTAGGTTGCCAAGATAGAAACAGAAAGAATGCTTATAGAAATGGTGGAAAATGAATTGGAGAAAAGGAGGCAGGAAGGTTTATATAATAAGCAGTTCAAAGGGCAATCCCATTTTTTTGGGTAACCAACATCTATGTTTTTCTGGCTGCTTTGGATTGGACTTTTATAAATGAGATAGTGGACTTTACTTCTCATTCCTCCAAGTATAGGTTTTTATGTAACATGATTTCACTTTTCAGTTACGAGGGTAGATGCGGTTTGCCTTCAAACTTTGATGCTAACTACTGCTATGCATTGGGTTTTGGTGCTGGGGCCCTCCTCCACTCCGGAAAGACTGGACTGATTTCCTCAGTTTGTGTTTCTATCTTTTGCTTCATTTATCTGTTACTTTTTTTTTTCAAAAATATTTCATTTCAGTCTCTGTTGCTGTTAATCTTCTTGTGATCCTAGCTTTCTTTATTTGTTAATAACAATGGCCATCCAGGTGAGCAATTTGGGTGCTCCAGTTGAAGAATGGACAGTGGGTGGAACAGCGTTGACATCCTTAATGGATGTGGAGAGAAGACATGGTATGCTTTACCCTCCTTTGTCAGTGTAAATGCAAGGCTAAGTACAGTCGTGGGGATCTTGTGTGCCCTTTCGTTGTTACTACCATTTTGAATGGCTTCCTTGTAAAATATGCCCCTTGATTACTGTTCCTCTTGCCCGATACATGAACTATAAACTAGTGTCATTACCTTTCTCCATCTTGCCTCATTTCCCCTTCTGCTAATTAGTAAAAGTGCTGGGGTAAGAGCAATGGATGAGTTTGGTCAAGTTTGTGTACTTGAAATTTCAGTTTTGTCCACATTGTACCTCCACAGGCCAGTTCTATCAGCATTATAGGTTAGATAAATAAAGAACCTTTCCTATAAATTTGATCTTAAATAATAATTTCAGAAATAATGTATTTTTATTAAAACAAAAATACAGTGACTACATCATACTTTGTGGTGGATTCATGAGGCAAAGGCGAACGCTGCAATGTGTAGGATTTTGGATGCTTAGAAAAAACCAGTTAATTCAATTACATAATTGTCATTGATTTTCTTTATATTGCGCCCAATTATAATTATTTTCTCATTATAGAGGTTTAAAACTGTGGCAGGAGAGTTCAAGCCAGTGATTAAGAAGGCAATGGTGGAACTCGATGGTAATATTCGTTTGAGCCCTCCATCTCACATTGTTCATTTTATATGGTAAATTGGTATTGGCTAGTACTGTAAATTCATCTGGGCATTGCAGTAGTACTCCGGTGTTTCTATTCAATTTATGATTAATAATTTCCCGAGCATTTGTGAAATATCAGGTGCACCTTTCAAAAAATTTGCATCTATGAGGGATGAGTGGGCTATAAAGAACCAATTCATCAATCCAGGTAAAATCCCAGGCTTCCAACACTCTACTACTATAAAACTAACTTGCATCAGTCAAAACTGAGGGTGGATATGGAAGTAGCTTTATTTCATGATAACGGAGGAAATGCATGCTGAACTATAATGCAGTTGGAAACGCATGCATTCTGTACTTTCTGAAGCATTGTTATCTTATACGGAGGATTATGGATGAATACCTGATCTTTTTAATTATTTTTATTTTTCCTTTACAGGTCCGGTTCAATTTGTTGGCCCTAGAGCAAACGATATTAGTCACACTCTTATGTTGGAGCTCGGAGCACAAACATAGAGGTTCTTCAGATAGAAATGAAGTTTGGCCAAAGAAATACATTTGTTGATACGCAAACAGCACAAGAATCAACTGTTTTTCCACTTAGAAGAGATCCTTACACGATTTGCTTTAGCTATCATTGATTAGATGGAAAAGTAAAGGTTTTATGTTATTGAAACCTGAGGAGTAATTTTTTATTATTTTTTATATCCCATTTTTGGGCGATAAAGCTTTTGAATGAATGGTTAATTTTTTGGATGATATATTATGGATATATAATTGGATAAAAATTCCAAAATTACTCATCATTGTGTAATCATATACGAAAGTCTACAGCTTCTTCTTATTTGGTGTTTACAATGCTTTTCTTCTCTCCTTTTGCCAAACGACTAGCTCTTATCGCATTCAAATTCATTGGCAACCTCATTCCCAGGGAGGTGTACAAGAGAGGTTTCACATTGAACCTTGTCTATTGCATACCTATTGAAGAGGATTAAATGGGCATGTAGTGGACTAAATGTGGTGCATGGTCACCCCCCATTGCTAGGAACAAGTTTTGATTTTTAAAAAAGGAAGGTTAATGATTAATAACAGAACCAATCAATCCAATCGAGGAAAAAAAAAAAAAAACAGGGGAGCAGGTGAGTCCAAACCTGACTCCCTAACACCACAGGGGAGTGCCCTACCACTAGGCAACATATGGTGAAGATAAAATTGCAATATTAAAAATTTTAACTTTAGGTTGGATTTATTTATTTATATATTTATCTTTTCACATATTTTGGATTTGGGTGTGATGATTTGGTCTCACAAAAAGCCCAACCCAAAAGGACGAACTAAAGGTAAAAGTGGATTCGTCGCAGAGGCTTGTTTGGTTGAACTGGTCAGTGTTCACAGAATTGTCATCGTCAATGAAAAACAACAGTTTGGTGTATTTTGCTAGAAGAATTCTATCAGTTCAGAGCCCAACTTCAAACTGGCGTTGCTATTGCTCTCCTTCCTCACCTTCCTCCTCTCCTCCACCCAACAATAAACTTTTTGTTGCCGGTTCCTCTCTCTCTCTCTCTATATATATATAATGTATTTATGTATATTTATATTGGCATTCTTACAACTTATGTTATTTCTTTGATTTGGGTATTCAAGGTTTGTCATGGTCAGTGGACGAGAAGTCATTGAAGGACGCATTCTCTCCTTTTGGGGAGGTCACTGAAGGTAATACATAAACATTCTTAACCGAATATATGATCCCACTTCTGCATATTCTTCGTTAATTCATTTAGTTCTCTACGTATTTGACAAAATGCCTGACTGATCACAGATGGGTGTATATTGATATGAAAGATTCTTTCTTAACTAAACCATGATCGTTTGGAGAAGTTTGGTCCACGAATGTGGTCTAAACATCGGTTTGGAATTTCTTAAGAATCGTCTTACGTAAGATTAATCTGAGCGTGGTCTATTGGTTTGTGATTTTGTATTGCTTAATTCACTTCATTGATCTCTCGCCTTTTAGTATTTAAGGAGGAAGAGTGGATGTCTGTAAATTCGAATGGTTTAAGGGATTGAACGAAAACAAATACTTGCCTGAAGCCCAAATAATAGAATCAAAATTTCCCTCATTTTAAGTGTCATTGGATTGCTGCTGGTGCAATGGTTAAAACTCGGGTTGATCATAGGAACATGAGCTCGAATTTGCTAGCAGCCATGTTGTGCAAAAAATGCTAAAGTTTAGACATGTCTCAAGTCTATCTCTCCTACCACCCCCATTTGATTGGCACTAGTACTGGTCTTTGAGAGAGAGAGAGAGAGAGTTTAGACATTTCTCGAGTCCATCCCTACCACCATCCCCATTTGATTGGCACTAGTACTGGACTTTGAGAGAGAGAGAGAGAGAGAGTATAGACATATCTCGAGTCTATCCCTCCCACCATCCCCATTTGATTGGCACTAGTACTGGACTTTGAGAGAGAGAGAGAGAGTTTAGACATGTCTCGAGTCTGTCCCTCCCACCATCCCCATTTGATTGGCACTAGTACTGGCCTTTGAGAGAGAGAGAGAGAGAGAGAGAGTTCAGAGATTTCTTGAGTCTATCCCGCCCACCACCCCCATTTGATTGGCACTTCTGCATATTCTTCGTTAATTCATTTAGTTCTCTACGTATTTGACAAAATGCCTGACTGATCACAGATGGGTGTATATTGATATGAAAGATTCTTTCTTGACTAAACCATGATCGTTTGGAGAAGTTTGGTCCATGAATGTGGTCTAAACATCGGTTTGGAATTTCTTAAGAATCGTCTTACGTAAGATTAATCTGAGCGTGGTCTATTGGTTTGTGATTTTGTATTGCTTAATTCACTTCATTGATCTCTCGCCTTTTAGTATTTAAGGAGGAAGAGTGGATGTCTGTAAATTCGAATGGTTTAAGGGATTGAACGAAAACAAATACTTGCCTGAAGCCCAAATAATAGAATCAAAATTTCCCTCATTTTAAGTGTCATTGGATTGCTGCTGGTGCAATGGTTAAAACTCGGGTTGATCATAGGAACATGAGCTCGAATTTGCTAGCAGCCATGTTGTGCAAAAAATGCTAAAGTTTAGACATGTCTCAAGTCTATCTCTCCTACCACCCCCATTTGATTGGCACTAGTACTGGTCTTTGAGAGAGAGAGAGAGAGAGTTTAGACATTTCTCGAGTCCATCCCTACCACCATCCCCATTTGATTGGCACTAGTACTGGACTTTGAGAGAGAGAGAGAGAGAGAGTTTAGACATATCTCGAGTCTATCCCTCCCACCATCCCCATTTGATTGGCACTAGTACTGGACTTTGAGAGAGAGAGAGAGAGTTTAGACATGTCTTGAGTCTGTCCCTCCCACCATCCCCATTTGATTGGCACTAGTACTGGCCTTTGAGAGAGAGAGAGAGAGAGAGAGAGAGAGTTTAGAGATTTCTTGAGTCTATCCCGCCCACCACCCCCATTTGATTGGCACTAGTACTGGCCTTTGAGAGAGAGAGAAGGAGAGTAGCAAAAGTTTCCTTTCATTTCCAAGAAAGTGTTTGTTTTACTTAAAATTCTGCATATGTGTTGATTCATGTTTCGACAAAGGCAATCCACACTTTCAATTTGCATTTATATTTCGCACTTTTGCCTGTTGCCATCCTGGAGTTGAATTATTTAATGCTCTCTGAGTGCCAAGTTAACTTGCAATGGTTTTATATTGATCAGAATATATCAAAGAAGAAAAAGAAAGAAAAATGTAAGATAATTGATTTAGTTGTTTGCCTGTATATTTGTTTTATTGTTCTAGAAACTATTTCATGTCCGATACAGGAGGGTTGTGTGATGAGGGTTGACTTCTGATCTTTGAAACTTGATGTGGTTCTTAATGTATGGGTTGAGAATTCACATATTTCAACTTTTTATCTATCCCATGGTTGGTGTGGATGGGGTGAAAATAGTATGAAATATATGCAACTTTGTTCATTGCATCCCCTGTAGGGAAAAAAACATTGAAAACCGTTTTCATTCTTGATTTGCTCATTAAAATTGGAATATAGTGAGCTTATTCTATTAATTGGCTTCAGTAACAGTAAATTTGTACACTAGGAAAACAACATAAATGCAACACTTTAAAAGTGGGAGATTCTAATTTGTCAAGCAGAAATTTATGAAACCACTACAAAATTCTTATGATTCTCGAACTGCTTGCTCGCTTATTTAGATTCTATCCTCCTAATCCACACCCAATTGAAGCTTTGACGGTAGGTGAGATTGCAAATCACAACATTTTGTTTTGATTTTATGATTTCTAGTTGTACTAATTAAAACCTTCTATATCCATATTGTATTGCAATTAGATTTTTAGTTATTTATTTAATATTAAAGATAAAAATTGAAGTTGCCTCTGAAAGTTAGAACTTCCCATTTATGATGAATTTTGTACTGCTGTGTTAATTCTAACATAATGCCAAGTCATGTGGATGTATGTGTGTTATAGTGAGGATAATGTATGACAAAGAAACCGGTAGATCAAGAGGCTTTGGGTTTGTAAATTTTTCGAAAGATAAAGAAGCAGGTTGTGCAAAAGATGCCATGGATGGAAAGGTGAGCCGATGCTTAGTACCATACTCGAACTGTTTTTCCCATAGAAAATTTTCATTTGAATGTGCGAGTAGATAATGTAGACATAAACAAAGCTTCCAACTAATGTGGCTTTACTCTGTGCAGGCGTTTCTCGGTCGGCCATTGAGGATAAGCTTTGCTCTTGAAAAGGTCCGCGGTGGACCTGTCGTAGTTCCTCGGCTTGGGAATGCCACCAGACAAAATAATTGAAGTTGTTTGGCAAAATTGTTGTGAATCATTTGTAGTGAAGAGTGATGAATTTTGAACTGCAATAGCTACAATTATTGTCCTGTGCTCATTTAAGTGTAGTAGGTCCCTTGTTAGATCAATCAAAGGGAAAAAAGAAACAGCCAAGTTGAAGTACTGAACCATGCTTGTCTGAAGTACCCCACGGGACATTGGATTTGTATTCAATCTCAGCTCGGAATTGATTACCTGTGCTTGAGTTTAGTTTTTGCATGGATGAAATTTGTGGAAGAATACAATCAATGTAAATCTTAACCTGATCTTCACTAGCTTGGTTTTTGTCATAGTTTCGTAAAATATCCACTAAACGAATGTTTAGCGAGGCCCAATTAATATAACTTCGTGTGGTTAAAAGAGGGGAACTCGAAGGATGCATCTACCCGCTAAGGAAGCTGGACGTTTTACCAACTAGGTTATTAGATAATGTCTAATTAAAATTTCGAGTGGGTCAAATGTTTTTTTTTTAAAAACTAGATTTTACCTAAATAGATGGTATTTTAGCAATGGTTAATTAATTTATATTTATTTTTTTACCTTTACAGAAAATTTACACAACATCCCATTTTTGTCTCAGGATGATTGGAACTGTGGATACCTTAGTGTTTTATCATAAGTATGGTGATTATTATTATTATTATTGATAGATACATTTTGTTACCCCAGTATTAGTTTTCATAACAACTAGCACAAGAAGACAAGTTTAGAAAGAAGTTTTAATACTTTATCTCATGTACTACAATCTTCAGGAAGGAGACAGAAATAATGCATGATAGAGAGAGATAACTATGACAAACGTAAACGTTTTATGATTGACGGAAAATTAAAACCAGAAAATTTTAATTACAGTATTAAGTAGTAAATCTTGGAAATTGCTTGCTAATTCCACCGTTGTGACTAAAGTTAGAGAAGTTTGGAAAAATATATTTATTCTTGCTTCTTGAACCCCTTTAAATGTTGTAATAATTAAATTTATTTATGATGTATGTTAATTGTGTTGAATAATAATAATAATTATTATTATTAGGAAAACAAAAAGCCTACCAGAGAAAGTAAAAAAAATAAATTTTTTAGTGAAAAGGGTAGTTATGGTATTATAAAATATGGAATGAGGCATTGTAAATAAGGAATGGTAAATTAATGAGTTTAAGGGCTAAAAAAGAAAATGAAAATGAAGTGCAATTATATAAGAGTGGAGTAATCTTGCCTTCTTTTTTTATTTATTTTTAATTAGATCAAATTAAAAGAAAACCCCTTGTAGTATAAAATAATTACAAAATACTCTCCTTTATTGCTATGTCTGGTACAATGGAAAAAAAAATTGATAACATTAGTTAGAAAGAAAAAAAAAGAAAAAAAGAAAAGAAAAATAGTGTTAACTATGTATCGTGTCTGGTGATTAATAAAAGAAAATAAATGAAATGAAATGAAAAAATATTATTTAATGAATTTACTATCACACTATTTTTCATAAGTTTTATTTTTTATAAAAATATAAAAAAATAAGGACAAAATCAATATTCAAAAGTCTTATTATACTTTATCGACTTTTGTTTTTATTTTCTTCTATTTTTGGAAGTATGATACAACTCATCATGCTTAATTTATATTCCTCCAAATTCTTCCATTTCCTTTATTTTTTTTTTTTTAATAATTTATACCAAACACAATATAACGTTATCCACCATGATTTTTTTTTTTTTTTTCAGTCCTCCTCAACTACAACGGGACTTAGTTTTTTTTTTTTTTTTTTTGACGAAAATACTTTTGCACATTACCCATTTTATCATTTACAAATAATTTGTGAAAAAAAAAAATTACAATTAATTTTACAAACTTCTCAGCAGTCCATGTGTCACGTGTGTGATGATCACTTTAACACCCAAAATTTCAATTTTCGAATGTGAGAGAAAGGGTAATTTACTAATTTGTAACTTTTGCTTGTTTATATTATCACAAAAAATAGTAGGGCGTATTTTGCACAGGGGTTTAGTGCAATTTAACTTTATTATTATTATTTTTTAAAAACAAAATAATTTTATTTGCTAGTAAAAATAATATAGAAAATAATATACTCCGTAAGGCTTAGTTTTTTATTTTGTATTTTTTAACTTCCACAAGACTTATTTAGTTAGATGAAAAAAAAAAAAAAAAAAAAAAGGAAAAGAAAAATAAATTGCAAAGAGACCTGACCTTAGTACCCAGCCAACAGTCGCAAACTCGCACTCGCACTCGCACTCGCAAACTCGCACTAGCAATCGCACCCGCACACTCGCACCCGCACCCGCACCCGCACCCGCACCCGCACCCGCACCATACTACTTTCTAGAACCATATATATAGAGGAGGAGGGGAGAGAGAGTCTATTTTACAAGAAAAGCATCAAGTTTTTGCTTGCGAAGATGGACAACGAAGCTGCGCAGGCAGAGAAGATAACAGAGAACCAAACTCATCTCGTCAGCACATTCTGTGAAATCACCTCTTCTTCCAAAGAAGAAGCTCTTTTCTTCTTGGAGAGCCACAACTACGACCTAGACCTCGCCGTCTCCACCTTTCTTGAAACCACCGCCGCCGCCGACGCCGACGCCAGCGATCACAACCTCCCTCGGTCGCGCTCTCCCTCTCCGTCGCCGTCTCGCTCCCGATCCCCGTCTCCGCGCCCGAACCCTTACGATCTCCGATCCAGGAAGCCCATGGCCTCTTCATCTTCCAACAGGAGGACCTCTGGAGGCCCCACTGGGCGCATTCGCACGCTGTCCGATCTGAATCGTCAGGCTAAAGACGATGCATCTGATAGTGACTCTGATGAGCCGCAGGAGTACTACACTGGTGGCGAGAAGAGGTTTTTCTTTCTCTTGATTCTTTTCTTGTTTATCTTTTTCCATTTCGCTGTTAGGCTGCTAGGCAAATGCAAAAAAATGGAAGAAATGGAAATTTTGATTGTTAAGATTTTTTGTCGGTTGGAATTTTTCATCACGAATCTTTGGACTTGACTAAGTTAATCGTATTCCTTTTCTTCTAGGGTTTTCTGAAGTTTTTTAGAGAGTGTTTATTTTTTAGTAATTAGTTTATTCTTGTTGTGTTAAGAGTGTGTTCATATATGTATATACTATTTGTTTTGTCAAATGCGTTATTATCCAGTTTAGGCGATGAAACTTTTCTGTTAACAACGTGTTCTGGTTTATCTGACATTCTACATGTTGCGTGTTGTATTGGTTTCTTGAATTTTGAATTTTAAGTTTAAGAGGGTTTCCAGGATATAGGTGGGGAGGGGAGGAGAGAAGAAGGAGGGAAGGAGGTGTTGATAATCCGATGGACATGATGGTCAAACCTAGTCCTGGATCCAAGTTCCAAGTATTGCTTGGACTTCATTGCCTTAGGCAGTTGCTTAGTCTCTTAAGGACTTCTGTGGAGAATACATGAGAGAACATTTCTGTTCATGAGGTTTTATGGAATTCAAACCAAAGTGGAGATTGTTGCAATAGTGTCTTGACTACTGACTAGAGTCGATAGGTCTGTAGACCGAAGAGAAATGCCTAGGCAGCTTCACATATCCTACCATCTTCCCCACTTTCTTGGGGTCGAATGCCTTGTTAGCATGATAATCCGATGAAATGTGATGGACATGATGATCCAACCTAGTCCTGGATTCAAGTTCCAAGCATTGCTTGGATTTGATTTGATGGTGTCTGCAGTTGTTCAGCCTCTTAATTGTTGAGAATACATGTGAGAACATTGCTGTTTATACATTTGAGAACACTTCTGTTTATGAGGTCTTAAGGAATTCAAACCAAAGTGGAGATTGTTGTGTTGGTGTCTTGAATTCTGAGTGCAAGAGGCCTCTCTCGGAAGTAAATAGGTCTCTAGACAGAAGGAAAAGGCCTAGGCAGCTTCACATTTCCTACCATTTTCCCCCTTTCTTGGGGGCATGACTCGAAGCATGAGTCAGAAAAGAGTCTATAATTTTCTTAATCAGAATGCAGTAGCTTTAGTTGAAATATGAATTGAAACTCCCTTGACCCCTCTTCTCTTCCCTCCCAACCCCCAATATATATATATATGAAAAAGAAGAAAGTTCTAGGCCTTGATGAAATTTTGAGCTTGCTTTCCAAGTATATTTTACTGGCTCTGATTTAAAATCTATTCGTTAAAGCAAGAAGGTTATGATATAAATTTAAGCCACATGCTTATTTTGTTCTCAATTTTAAGGATGAATTATGGATCATTTAATTGTTGACATTCTCATATACATATAACAACACTGCTAGTTATACTTTATTTCATCCTTTCGATTGATACATTTTGAACTATATTTGTGTTTAAATTGTGTTGAATATATTAATTTGGTTTTTTTTTTTTGCATTAGTCTCGAATAATTATAGGATAAATAATTATGTCTAAGTGTTAGGATTTGGCTAACCTTAGTGCTTATCTGCAGTGGAATGCTTGTTCAAGATCCATCTAAAGCTAATAATGTGGATGCGATTTTCAATCAAGCTAGACAATTTGGAGCTGTGGAAAAACCTGCTGATGATCCTCATCCGTCTTCAAACTCAAAAAGCTTTACTGGAACAGGAAGGCTGCTCTCCGGAGAGACGGTGTCACCTGCTGCTCAGGCTGCTCAGCAGCCTCAAGTTGTCACTCACAACATCGTTTTTTGGAGTAATGGGTTCGCAGTAGATGATGGTCCATTGCGGAGGTTGGATGATCCTGAAAATGCATCCTTCTTGGAGGTAGCACCTTTTTAAATTTATGTCCTGGTATTGATAGTTTAAGTTTTTATGATTCAGCAATGGAGTTTGTACTGTAAATTCTGCCTAAATCATGTCAGGTAACTGGTGCAGTGCACATTTGTGTTCTTAAAAGTAATGATGAACTTAATGGAATATTTTTCTGTCCATTGCGTTTAACACATCAATGTTCAAACAAGGGTGAAACGTTGCTAAAACTCAAGCTGAGCATAAAACATTTTTAATATTTAGATTGAGATTGAGATTGATACTGCAAGATTCAATTTACATATTGAAGAAGCAACAATTAACCATTGTGAGTGAGTGGGCAATGAAAAGAAGAAATGTTAAAAATTCATCAAGTTTTGATTCAATCTATTAGTTACCTGGAGTGAAAAAGTTAGAAATGTTTTCTATAATAAGGGTCTTTATCATCAACTTTGTTCCATTGGTGGAGATCTTTTATGATTGATTTGACATCTCAATTAATGTATTTTTGTTAGTAGGGATGTAATTATGTAATTCATTTGTTCACTGCAGAGCATCAGGAAGTCCGAGTGTCCGAAAGAACTTGAGCCAGCAGATAGGAGGATTGCAGTGCATGTTAATCTCACGAGGAAGGAGCAAAATTTCCCCGTGCGTAGTTTATTTATTTCTCGGTTGCTTCTTTTTACTGGTCTCTGCTGCTTACTCATGCTGACTTTGTCTCTGCTAACCCATGTTGATTTGGCATCCAATTTTCCTTTGGTGCAGGAACCTGAGAAACGCCAGATTCCTTTTCAGGGTGCAGGAAGAACTTTAGGTAGTGCCAGCAGCACCACGCCGATGGAGGCTGCTGCTGCTGCTTCCCTCAACACAGCTCCACCACCATCCGTGGGTCTTGTTGTGGATGACACGTCACCTTCTACATCTATTCAGCTCAGGTTGGCAGATGGCACCCGCATGGTTTCGCGCTTCAACTACCACCATTCAATCAGAGATATCCGTGCCTTCATTGATGCATCGAGGCCTAGCGGGGCAAGGACTTATCAACTGCAGACAGTGGGGTTCCCTCCCAAACAACTCACTGATCTGGAACAGACAATAGAGCAGGCGGGGCTGGCCAATTCAGTTGTGATCCAGAAACTCTAGCAAGTTGCACAATGTGATGTCAGTCTGAGTTTCAATATACTGGATAGATTTTGGATACACATTATACATTTGGTTATTTGATGGGTTTAAAATTCATTTTATGGGATTCATATATTACATGAAGATTGTATATGCCCTACTCTCTCTCTCTCTCTCTCTCTATATATATATATATATCCTTTCATCATTTTTGATGCAGAGGTAATACTATGTATATTCGTTAATTGACAGTACCTAGCAATGAGGAGCATAAAGTATCCAATTTTTGGGTATTGTTATTGCAGATCTTTCGAGTTGAATCTCAACAGATTTCAACAGATTTGGTTATGTGATCAGATCAAGCAAGTCCTGATTTGTCATGCAGAGTCTCTTGTCATCTCAACAAAGCAATTGTGTGAAGAAATTGTTGTGTCTTCTGCTTATTTTATTTGGATCTCACCCATGTAAGATTGGGACTTTTCTTTATTGGTTCAATTCTTAAATTGTTTAGTATTAAGTGTCTTTGCTATCTTCTTCTGCTGAAATATTTTGCTATGGAATCAATCACTAGATTGGTCTGAGTTTGACATGTATCCTTCCAATCACAACTCTCAAGTTTTGGGTTTGCTCTCCCTTGTTCATTCATCTATTGTTTGGTTCAGATTGGTGTCCCACTTTTTGTTTATTCTGATAAATCTCAATTGACTGTCAAATAACAAAGCTTAGACTCACACATACATGTACACAAACTCATTGCACTATTTGGCATGCTATGCTGTACATAAAATCATAAATACACAGAACACACACAAATAGAAAGAGAATTAGCTGAAAAGATGGTTAGCACTGTTTGGCATGCTATGCTGTACATAATTGCACAGAACGCACACAACTAGAATTAGCTGACAAGATGGTTAGCGTAATTAACAATTTAGTGTTTTTTTTAAGAGTAGTGCTATTTCCCCCACTAGTAAAAACCTACAAAAATACGTATATCATTGTGTGGGCCAGTTCTTCTTCTTCTCTTTTTTTTCCTTTCTTTTTTTAATCTCTCCACCCAAGTAATCATGCATCATCTCTCTTCCAATCACAACAAACTCTAATTGTGCCTAGTAGTTAGATTCAACATCCCCAAGAAAGAAAAAATAATAAAAAAATACATATGATCAATAATGTCAAATTCAATCCAGTTGAAGAAAACATTGAGTACTTGCCGGACAAATCACCGACAGGTGAGGTGGAGTTGAAGACGACGATGGCGAGGCCAAATTTGGGATTGAAACGGATCTCCGATAAGTGAAGAAGACCAAAAATGTTTAGTTTTATAGCCCTAATTGCTTCAAATGTGAATTGATTTTTTTTTCAATGAGAGAAAAATTGTGATATATCTCTGAGATTTTGGGATAATTTCGCAGGCAGAGATGGATCTCTATCACCAGGTCGTATTGGCTGTGGCCAATGATTTCAAATGAATGGCGACAGCAGCAAAGGAGATCGTGCGAACAAGAGAGAACATTTATGGTTATTACGAAGTATTACATGACTTGCCAAATTAGTATTTTTTATTTATGTCGATTTTAAGTCAATAGATAGATGTCGTCAAAATTATCATTTTTTTTTTTTAAAAATATATAAAATAAGAGTGGTGCTATACGACCCGGACTAAGAAAAACCAACATCCTACCGACTAAGAAAGTTTGAGAAAATTAAAATTTTGAGGATGTAGAGAGAGAGGAAGCAGATGAGTGAGAGAGAGCCACGGGCACACCGTTGTCGGAAAAACTAGAATGTAGGGAGACAGTTTCATCAAAGAAAACTAATGGCATAGTGACTCATGGATGTAGGTTTTTTTGTTGGTACGAACTTGTCATCAAAAATATCATTTTTCATAAAATAATGTATTCTGGCTCCCGAATTTTCAACTCGGTTGTTCTTGAAGATACAGTTTACAAGAAGGAATGATGCGAATTGAAACGTTGGCATTTATAGAGTCCCTACACAACCTTGGACATACGGTCATACCTATATATTTCATAAAAAGTATGATATTTAAAATACTTGTTAAAGATATTTTTAAAAATTTTCTGTTTCATAGGGGCTCCAGGTAAGTTTGCGTAACTGAGATTCATGAGATTGGGAGTTCGGTTATATAGGGGGAAGGTATTAAAGCACCCCTAAGGAATCCAGGAAAATTTGTGCACATTTTAAAATAATATTTTTTTATATATCTTAATCCCTTAAAAGTCAGATTCATCGTCCAATTCAATGCTCAAAAAAATATATATATATATTTGAGATTTTTTATGGGTTCTCATGCAAAGAGTTTCACTCTTCTTGCATGGCTTTAAACTACATATTTTTCTGCTCATGTGATATAGCCACTTGATGGCATTCTTACTCTCTCCCACATGCAAGCATGGCATACTCATTTGTGATTTTTGTTGGGTCCCAACTACCATTTTGAGGATTAATTAAATTACAAACTCTAAAGATATGAGAATAGTAATAAAATTGGAGAAATCTTTGCGAAATCCTCGTTTTGAACCTTATTCGTCAAGAGCTGAGCGAGGCCATTATTTGAGCTTTCATCTAGAGTTTTCACAAAAAGTTACAATCCGTTTTAGAATAATAATTTTTATTTTTAAAAGCATATGTAATGCAATTGGAGCATTTTATCAATGTTTATTGAGTGAATTGGGTTTAGGCAATTTGATTAGGGCTGATCACGGATTGATTTGGTTTGATTTTGGGTAAAATTCAAACTAATTCGATCCATACGAATTCGCTAAATCTGAAAGCGAACTGATCTGTGAGGACTCTCAATCTGAACCAAATCGATCCGTGAAATAACGGATTGATTCGGTTCGGTTTTTACGAATTAGGCTTTTTCAAACAGCCCAATATAATTATATTATAGTGCAGCGGCTTAAGATAACAACTGGACTGGAACTCCCAGCCACCAACGGAAATCCTTTCAACGAGGTTTGCGTCCCCAATTTTCACCCCACCGCAGACGTTTCATCACTTTGGCACCAACCAAACTCAACAGCACCAACAGTAATGGCATCATATGTCTCAGTCAACCGCTAACAACCAAACTCAGAGTGGGCAGCCTCAAACCCAGCTTTTTGGACTTCAATTAAATAGTTTAGTAACATCCAAAGAATATAAGATAACTAAAGACCAGCATCATGTGCATAAATGTATATGTGTTCCAGGTAAAGATTGCAAAGGGGTTTACTCATATCAGTCCTCTGGAAATGAGGAACTAAGGAAGAGAGTCGAGAGACAGAGACTAGGAGGCGGCAGACCTTATGTTAGAAAATCTAGGGTTAGAAACTTAGATACACTGAATTTTAAAAACAAATAATGAATAAAAAATAAATAAATAGAAATAATATCTTAAAGTATACATATAATTATATATATTATGTAATATAATTCACGGATCGAATCGGTTTAGTTAATGGATCAGTTCTATTTTTTCAGGGTTAAATCTGTTAATTGAACCGCTGAGTGAGGATTGTTAATTTTTAAAACCATCACCGAACTATGAGATCAAAAAATCAAACCGAATCATACAAATTGAATTGGTTTGGATCAATTTAATAGATTAACGGGTAATTTGAACACCCTAAATTTGATACTTAGCCCTTTAGTGTGTGTATGTGTTTTTTTTTAAAGTAGTGCAAAATTGGTGTTTACAAGGGTGGTTTAGGGTTTAATTGTTAAAATAGTTCACGGATTTCTTGAGAGGGAAGGAAGTTAAAGAGGGTTTTAAAAAGATAAATTTGCACTATCTCAGAAGAAATTGCACTAATTCCTTTGAGATTGAGGAATCGCATGGCCTCTTCATCTTCCAACAAAAGGACCTCTGAAGGGCGTACAGGTGATATTCGCATGCCGTCCGATCTGAATAGTAGGAGTACTACACTGGTGGCAAGAAGAGGTTTCTCTCTCTTTCGACTCTTTTATCGTTCAACTCTCTTCGTGTCTCTGTTAGGCTGCTAGGAAAATGCAAGAAATTGAAATTATTGATTCTTAAAATCTCGCGTCGGTTGGAATTCTCTTAATCGGCCGGACTTAACAAAGTTAATGAAAATTTCTATCTTTTAGGGTTTTTCGCAGTTTTTGAGAGTATGATTATGTGTTAGTAATTTGATTGTTCTTGTTGTGTTGAGTGTGTACATATATGTATATACTATTTGTTTTGTCGAATGCGTTATTATCCAGTTTAATCGAGGAAACATTTCTGATAAAAACTTGTTTTGGTTTATCTGACATTCATTCTACATGTTGCGTGTTTGTATTGGTGTATTGAATTTTAAGTTCAGGAGGATTTTTCAAGATATAGAGGGGCTGATAATCCGATTGACATGATGATCAACCCTAGTCCTCAATTCAAGTTCTAAGCATTGCTTGTATTTCATTGACGTATGCAGTTGTTTAGCCTCTTAAGGACTTGTGTGGAGAATACGTGAGATAACATTTCTCTTTATGAGGTTTTATGACACTTTTATGGAATTCAAACCAAAATGGAAATCGTTGCGATGATTTCTTGAATTCTGAGTGCAAGAGGCCTTTTTCGGAGATCCAATGGGTTTGTAGACGGAAGGAAAAGTCCTAGGTAGCATCACATTTCCCCCTTTCTTGAGGTCAAATGCCTTGTTAGGATGATAATCCGATGGACATGGTGCTTAATCCCAGTCCTGGATTTAAACCAAAGTGGATTGTTGTGATGGTGTCTTGAATTCTGATTAAGGCCTTTTTCAGAGGCCAATAGTTCTCCATACAGAAGGAAAAGGCCTAGCCCTAGGAAGATTTGCATTCCCCTTTTCTTGGGGGCATGACTTGAACCATGAGTTAGATAAAAGTCTATTTTTCTTAATAAGAATGCAGTGATTTTATTTGAAATATGAGTTGAACTCCCTTGTCCTCTCCCCTCCTCCCTTCGAAACCCTCAATATATTATACACACACACACACACATATAAATGAAAAAGAATAAAACACCAGGCCTTGACGAAACCTTGAGCTTGCTTTCCAAGCATATTTGACTGGCTTAGATCTTTCGCATTTAAAATTTATGCATCAAAGCAAGATGATTATGATATAAATTTACGCCACATGCTTATTGTATTACTAGCACACTCAATTTTAAGGATGAATTATGGATGATTTAATTGTTAAGATCCTTGTACACACACACACATACCAACATTGTTAGTTATGCTTTATTTCAGCCATTGACACATGTGAACTACATTTGTGTTTAATTGTGTCAGAAGGCTTACTAGGCTAATAATGTGCATCTATTCTAACTTGGCTATCTTCTGCATTAGTCTCAAATAATTTTAGTATAAATACTTATGTCTTAACTGTTAAGATTCGATTGACGTTAGTCCATATATGCAGTGGAATGCTTGTTCAGGATCCAACGAAAGTTCATCAGGCAAATGCAATTTTCAATCAGGCTAGACAATTTAGTGCTGTAGAAATACATGCTAGTGTTCCTCACTCGTATTCAAACTCACATGCTAATGTTCCTCACCCATATTCAAACTCACATGTTAATGTTCCTTACCCGTATTCAAACTCAAATAGCTTTACTAGAATACGGAGGCTGCTCTCAGGAGAGGCGGTGTCATTTGCTGCTCAGCAGCGCATAGTTGTCACTCACAACATCGTTTTTTGGAGGAATGGGTTCACAGTAGATAATAGTCCATTTCGAAGGTTGGATGATCCTCAAAATGCATCCTTCTTGGAGGTAGCATCTTTTTAATTTCTGTCCAGATTGGTATTGATAGTTCAAGTTCTATGATCCAGCATTGGAGTTTGCACTGTAAATTATGCGTTAATCATGTCCTTGTGCAGTGCATATTTGTGTTTATGAAAGTAATGATGAATTTAATGGAATATTTTTCAGTCCATTCCATTAAACACATCAAAGTTGAGACAAGGGTGAAACATTGCTACAATTCAAGCTGAGGCATAAAACATTTCTAATATTGACGTTGATATTGCAGGCTTCAATTTGTATAATAAAGCAAAGATTAGTGGGGAGTGAAATAAGATTTTGATACTTTCTTATATTTCCTTTCCAAACACATGCTTTTACCCTAAATAAATAAATAAAAATCTACTTTTGAAATGATTAAAAGTTCGATCCGTGGTCAAATTTTTTTTTATAAAAAATATTCGACCTATAATTAGTATTCTGGTTGTAAACTTCCTTTGGATGTACAGTCTGCCTTTTTCTTTTAAAAGTAGAAGTCTAAGGTTTACAAAGTCATCAAGTTTTGAACCAATCTAAGTTACCTGGAGTGAAAAAATTAAAAATATTTTCTACAAATTCATCAAGTCTGCCTTTATTGACTCTGTTCTATTGGTGGAGATCTTTGAATTGACTTCTCAATTATCCAAATTTTATTTTTTATTTAGTTATTTATTTTTGTTAGTGGGGATTGGGGATGTAATTATGTGATTCATTTGTGTCTCGCTGCAGAGCATCAGGAAGTCTGAGCGTCCAAAAGAATTTGAGCCAGCGGATAGGAGGATTGCTGCAGTTTATGTTAATCTCTTTAGGATGGAGAATGATTTCCCTGTGCGTAGTGTATTTCTCCGCAGCTTCTTTTTCTTTTTCTTTTTTGTTTCTTTTTATCACTGGTCTCTGCTACTCATGTTAATTTTGTCTCTGCTACTCATGTTGAATTGGCATAGCCTATATTCCTTGTACAAGAACCTGGGAAACGCCGAAGAACTTTAGGTAGTGCCAGTAGCACCATGCTGATGGAGGCTGCTGCTTCCCTCAACACAGCTCCACCACCATCCATGGGTCTAGCTGTGGATCATACATCACCTTCTATTGGTGGCATTCACACACTTTTTGGTCTGAATCGTCAGGCCAGAAATGGTGACTTCGATGAGCCGTAGGAGTACTACACTAGTGGCACAGAGAGGTTTTTCTCTCTATTGATTCTTTTCTTGTTCATCTCTCTTTTTGTCTCTGTTAGGCTGCTAGGAAATTGCAAGAAAATGGAAGAAACTGAAATATTGATCCCTAATATCTTTCGCCAGTTGGAATTCTCTTAATTGCGACTCTTTGGACTTAACTAAGTTAAATAAATTCTCTTTTTAGGGGTTTCTTGAGTTTTGGAGGGTATGCTTATGTGTTAATTCATTGGTTGTCGTGTGTACATCTTTGTATATTCTATTTGTTTTGTCAAACATGTTATTATCCTGTTTAATTGAGAAAAAATTTCTGTTGACAACGTGTTTTGGTTTTTCTGACGTTCATTCTACATGTTGAGTGTTTGTATTGGTGTCGTCCTAGATTCAAGTTTCAAGCATTGCTTGGATTTCATTGCTGTATGCAGTTGTTTGGCCTTTTAAGGACTTATGTGGAGAATACATGAGAGAACATTTCTCTTTATGAGGTTTTATGGAATTCAAACAAAAGTGGAGATTGTTGCGAGGATGTCTTGAATTCCGAGTGCAAGAAGCCTTTTTTAGAGGCCAATACGTCTCTAGACAAAAGGAAAAGGCCTGGGCAGCTTCACATTTCTTACCGTTTCCCCCCCTTTCTTGATGGCATGACTTGAAGCATGAGTCAGAAAAGAGTCTGATTTTTTTATTCAGAATGCAGTAGCTTTAGTTGAAATATGAATTGAAACTTCCTTGTCTCCTCGTCTCCTCCCTTTTAAACCCCATATATATATATATAGGGTAATGATCTATTGCTCACCGGCAAGCAAGAAATTTATCCACTGTTTGTATAGTGAGATGTAAAAAAGGTAGTTACCAAAAAAACATAGCAATCACATCCAACGTCATCCATGCATGGTATGTATGAACAAATAAATAAATAAATAAATAAAGAGAAAAAAAAAAAGAGAGAGAAAGCACTAGGCCTTAATGAAACATTGAGCTTGCTTTCCAAGTATTTTTTACTTGCTTAGATCTTTCCCAGTTTAAATTTAATAGTTAAAGAAAGAAGATTATGATATTAATTTAAGCCACGTGCTTATTTTGTTACTAGCATTCTCAAATTTAAGGATGAATTATGGATCATTTAATTGTTGACATTCTCATATGCGTGCGTTCGTGCGTGTATATATTATCACAACAATGTTAGTTATGTTCTATTTCATCCATTGACACATTTTGAACTACATTTGTGTTTAAATTATGTTGAAAGGCTTACTAGGCTAATAATGTGCATTTGTTGTATATTAACGTGGCGATTTTTTGCATTTAGTCTCAAATAATCTTAAAATAAGTACTTCAATCTCTGTTAAGGTTTGGCTAACCTTAGACCATATCTGCAGTGGATTGGTTGTTCAAGATCCATTCAAAGCAAACTCATGGGGCTTTATTGGAACAAGGAGGCTATTCCCAGATTGGGCAGTGTCATATGATGCTGGGCAGCCTGCAGTGATCATTCACAACATCGTTTTGTGGAGTAATGGGTTCATAGTAGATGATGGTTCATTTCGGAGGTTGGATGATCCTGAAAATGCATCCTTCTTGGAGGTAGCATCTTTTTAACTTCTGTCCAGATTGGTATTGATAGTTCAAGTTTTATGATTCAGCAATGGAGTTTGCATGTAAATTTGGAGTTAATCATGTCTTGTGCATTGCATATATGTGTTTATGAAAGTAATGATGAATTTAATGGAATATTTTTCAGTCCATTCCATTGAACGCATCAAAGTTCAAACAAGGGTGAAACGTTTCTACAATTCAAGCTGAGGCATAAGATTTTGATACTTTCTTATTTTTCCTTTCCACACACATGCTTTTACCCTAAATAAATAAATAAAAATATGTTTTTGAAATGATTAAAAGATCCATTTGTGGTCAAAGTTTTTATTTTTATTTTTAAATATTGGATCTTTATTTAGTATTCTGGTTGTAAACTTCCTTTGGATGTACAGTCTGCTTTTAACTTAAAAAAGTAGAAGTCTAAGGTTTACAAATTCATCCAGTTTTGAACCAATCTAAGTTACCTGGAGTGAAATAATTTCTATAAGAAAGATCTTAGTTATTGACTCTGTTCTATTGGTGTGGAATGGGGATGTAATTATGTAATTCATTTGTTTCTCGCTGCAGAACATCAGGAAGTCTGAGTGTCCAAAAGAATTTGAGCCAGCTAATACGAGGATTGCAGTGCGTGTTAATGTCATGATGATGGGAAAAGAATTTCCTGTGCGTAGTTTATTTCGCCGTTGTTTCTTTTTTATCACCGGTCTCTGCTACTCATCTTGATCTGGCATCTTATTTTCCCTTATGCAGGAACCTGAGAAACACCATGTTCCATTTCAGAGCCATATTCCATTTCAGGGTGCAAGAAGAACTTTAGGTAGGAGCTCCAGCAGCAGCCCCACGCCGATGGAGGCTGATGCTTCTGCTTCCGTCAACACGGTTCCACCTCCAACCATGGGTGTAATTGTGGATAACACATCACCTTCTACCTCAATTCAGGTCAGGTTGGCAGATGGTACCCGAGTTGTTTCGCGCTTCAACTACCACCATACGATCAGAGATATCCGTGCCTTCATTGATGCAATGAGGCCTAGCGGGGATAGGTCTTATGAACTGCAAGCAGTGGGTTTCCCTCCCAAACAACTCACTGATTTGGAACAGACAATAGAGCAGGCGGGGCTGGCCAAGTCAGTTGTGATCCAGAACTAGCAAGTTGCATAATGTGATGTCAATCTCAGTTTCAATATGCTGGATAGTTTTGGGATACAGTGTCGTTATACGATAGGTTTAAAATTCATTTTATGGGATTCATATATCAGATAACGATACCTATATGTTTCTTGAATAGAGGTAATTTGTTCGTCTGCTAGAAATATATGCTATTGAAGAAAGAGATCTATTCTTTTGTAAATTATAGGGCGTGGTTTGTTTGATGATGATGGTATACATTCAAGTTGGTCCATGTTGCCTTCAACGGTTAAAGATTGGGTTTTACCATGATTCGCAGTACTGGTCGTGGTATCGGCTGCGGTGTAAAAAACTCGAATAAAGTAAATATGAACGGGCATATATGAATCGCGTATCAAATTTGTAAAAGAATTGCGTATTGACTTTTACCCGTCAATAAGAATGCTGCAGGTAATGTAATGGAGACTTCAGTGAAGTTTCTTTTTTCGGTGGACATTGGACATTGGAATGTCCAAATGGAAATTGGATCCACACTATTTGGTAATGTTTTTTTGCGCAAAAAATGGTTGCTTGAGATGTAGATGCGTGATCACCGTTGTGGTCCAGGCATTTAATGTAAAAGTTTTTTATTTTTATTTTTTAAAGGAACTTTTTCTTGTTTTCGTCTCTTCTTATTAAATCAAAATTCAATAGTATTGCAGTACGATTATTTGTAATTATTAACAGGTACTGTGGTGTCTTATTCTATAATTCACTTCTAACACATACAGTTCCTACTGTGTTTTCATATGCACGGAGCACAATGTATATATAAAAAACAAATTGGGGAAAAAAAAAAAAACAGTAATTCAAAACTCAAAAGTACAGAAGTGAAAGTACAAGAATGGTTAAAAGTTGAATTTTCTTTACCAGAGAAGATTCTGTTTCTCACCTATTCTTTTACTATCATTATTGGGTCCTTTGCTTCAAAAGTCCTTGTAACTATTACAGTTTCCAATAATAATAATAATAATAATAATAATAATAATAATAATACTGTTCAAAAAAAATAAAAGGATAAAGTATAGTCACACTATATGAGGTTTAGCAAAAAGATACTTAGAGAAAATTTATTTATTTTTTGGACAAAGGCACCCCTGAAGGTTCAAAAATAGACAAAGACACCCCTTTACATGAAAAATTGACCAAATTACCCTTTGACCGTTTAGGAAACTTTTTTAACTTTACAATTTAATAAATTAGACTAATCTACCCTCATAAATAATTTATGAATAAAAAAAACAAAAAAAAACTTTATATTGTTCACTTTTCTTTTCTTTTTTTTTTTTTTTTAAATGTCTCAACTTCTTAAAAATGTAGATGTCTAAAATAATTTTTTGATTCAATACATATATTTCAAATAAATTATATTTTGTTATTACTTATTTTCTTTTTCTTTTTTATTTTTAAATTAAGATGCTTAATTCTTTCATCTAAAAAAATTAAACCAATCTCTTTTCAATAAAAAAAAAAAAATATGGTACCAGTATAACTTTATGCATCTTAAATTACATATAAAATATTATGTATTTCCTAATATAAAAGAAAATAGGTACCAGTATAACTTTATGCATGCCTTTTTTTTTTTTTTTTTTTCCATTTGTTTTATTATTATTATTTTTCCTTTTTATGTTGGGAAATGCATAATATTTGATATATAATTTAAGATGCATAAAGTTATACTGGTACCATATTTTTTATTTTTAAGGAAAAAAGATTGGTTTAATTTTTTTAGATGAAATAATTAAGCATCTTAATTTAAAAAAAAAAAAGAAAAAAAAAAGAAGTAATAACAAGATATAATTTATTTGAAATATATGTATTGGATCAAAAAATTATTTTAGACGTCTACATTTTTAAGAAGTTGGGACATTTATAAAGTACATAAAAAAAAAAAAAGTGAACAATATAAAGTTTTTTTTTGTTACTTTTTTTTTTTATGCATAAATTGTTCATAAAGGTAGATTGGTCCAATTTATTAAATTGTAAAGTTAAAAAAGTCTTTTAAACTGTCAAAGGGTAATTTAGTCAATTTTTCATGTAAAGGGTGTCTTTCTCTAAAAAAAACAGGTAAGTTTCACATGAGTATCCTTTTATCAAACCTTAGGAGATATGGTTATACTTTATCCAAAATAAAAAAAAATACCTCCTCTTTTCTTGAGGGATAACCGGGTGATATTACCCATTTTCCCCTTTGTTAGGTAAAAGAATATTTTTTGATAAAAAAAAGTATTCCTCCAAATATTGTTTTGATATGCATGTTCAACTTACTTGTTTTATAATTTTTCATTTTTTTTCCTTTGAAAAATTAGTATTAGCAATAGATTACATTAGAAATTATTAGCATATACTACTACTAATTCTTATAATTTACATTTATTTATTTATAAAACCACAATGAATGCAGTGGCCTTTAAAATCTAAACCCAAATCACGTAACGGTCGCGTAAGTGTGGACAATTGGACATCGATGCGCATGCATGCATTAATGGATGGATGATACATCACTATTCATGCCCGCATATGAACAAAACTCTCCTTCGACCCCCTGTCCCCTCCTCTCCCTCCCTCTTTCTCTCTCCTCTCTCTCTCTCTGCACACGCTCCCCCCACCCCCCTCTTTCCCAGCAGCTAGGGTTTCTGCTTCCGTACTCTTCCAATTCCTGTTGCTCCTGTTACCTTCAATCAGCTCAAACGGACCACACCAATCGCTCACAATGCTCTCCTATTTCCTACTTTCGCCCCTAAAATAAGCTTCGATTCAACCTCCCCCTCTCTCTCTCTATATAATATCTATACTAAATCTCTGTTCTGCAACTATAGCATCGAAGTTCAATCATTGATGGCGAAAACCAAACCTGGCAAGAAAGACTTGGATTCTTACACTATCAAAGGCACCAACGTCAGACGTAACCGCTCTCTCTAAATGTCGCATTTTTTTCTTCTTTTTCTCTGCCTCTCTATACTTTTGCATTTTTAATTGTTTTGTGCTTACGGATGTGTTTGGCAGCCGGAGATTGTGTGTTGATGCGGCCATCGGACTCCGATAAGCCGCCTTACGTGGCACGGGTGGAGAGGATCGAAGCTGATCATCGTAATAACGTGAAGGTTCGGGTACGGTGGTATTACCGACCGGAGGAGTCTATTGGAGGGCGGAGACAGTTCCATGGAGCAAAAGAGTTGTTCTTGTCGGACCATTATGATATGCAGAGTGCTCACACTATAGAAGGGAAGTGCATTGTTCATTCTTTCAAAAATTACACTAAGCTCGAGAATGTTGGTGCCGAGGATTACTTTTGTCGATTCGAGTACAAGGCTTCAACCGGAGGGTTCACTCCGGACCGTGTTGCTGTGTGAGTTTGAGCTCTGTTCTGTTTGTTTTGGATGGCCTTGATGCCGTTATAGTTTGCATTTGCTAATGTTTTAATGTGTTCTGTCTTCTTATTTGAAGGTACTGTAAGTGTGAAATGCCTTATAATCCGGATGACCTTATGGTGCAATGCGAGGGGTGCAAGGACTGGTAATATTTTTTTATTTTTTTTTCCTACGTACCTAGTTTTTCTTGTGTTTGGGGTGCTTTAAGCTCCCCTTGGATAGCATACATCTCATAGTTCTTGTTAATCTAATCGTGATCAGATAAAACACATTTAATGCTGTATTTAAAGTAGTAATGTGGAGGTCTTCCTGCTTGAATTGAAAAGATTCAATCTTTGGCCTGTCATATATTCATTAATTAATTGTTGCTATTTTGTTTTCTCTCTTAGATTGTATTTGCAGAGGTTGCGCTGGTTTAATGCTGCTTTATAGGAACAGGAGATTTTTTCAAAACAAATTGGCAGGTTATCTTAATTATGTTTAGGTCATGTAGTCCCCTCCCCTACCGGTCACAAAGAGCAGTGATTTGGCATGTTAATGGGGTTCCATCTTTTCTGTTTTCCTTTGCAGCTTTGCTTTGTATCATTTGTCCAAACTCATGTTGGTGTCATATGTTTTATGTCCATTTAGCGTATTTTCCCTGGCTTAACCATTACAAAACTAGATTTACAGTAATGCATAGGTCCTATATATATTGGGATAGGTGGGGAGAGAGAGAGAGAGAGAGAGGTCACCACAAAATTCTCGAGGTTAGGGCACAGCCAAGGGTTAATTAGTTCTAGAGAGGTCTAGTTTAAAATTGTCTCAAGTATTCTAGGGTCTTTTCAATATTTAAGACCCTTCTTAAGTGTCTGCTAGAGTTCTTCTTGTAGGTCATGGGCTCATGGGCGAACACAACGTGGTGCTTATTAGATGATCTGTTGTTGTTCTCATGAGGCTATTTCACATGTCCTTATTACTACTTAGTTGGGTGTTGTCACGTGCATTGGGACTGTTTGATTGAGACCTATTAGGAATGACATTGTGGTCACATAGGTTACATTAGGAGCTAGGGTGGTGCCAAGATGGCTAGTGTTGTTCATAGGATTTTTTCCCCATCTAATTGGAAGTGCCCATTTGTTAGTGGGATGGTCCAATGGGCAGTCGCCAAGTGTGATGTGTGGTCCATTATGGTGTTACCACTTCATAGAGGACATATATCATTCAGGAGTCATGGGATGTCTCTCTTTATGTCAAATCGAGGCCATGCAGATCTTGAGTCCTGCTCCCAACCTAGCCACCTAGGTAGTGCACGAGGTCCATCGGGATGCAATGATCTTTGCCGCATAGTGCCTGGTAAAGAAGGAAGTGAGATTTATCTAAAAAGAGGTTTTCATTTTTTATGAGATCATGCGTATAACTTTGGGAAAGGCAAGGGTCTTGTTTGAAATATCATATGTTCCTGTGCTGAAGGTAGCGAGGTTTATCTACAATCAATACATGCACATGTTCTCTTGCAAAGTGCGTGTAAATAATGCTTGGGACTGTATGTAGAGAATATGGATTGTGTAAGTTAGAAATTTGTGCAATCATTCTGTTGAAGACAGTAAACCTTCCATGGATAACAAGCCTATTGGGAAGGCGGACTGAATGGTTGGAGAATAGGGTCAAATGACTGAACATCTTCTGAAATGTGCAGTAGAGAAATTGTTGCCTCGATCAGCGCCTTGGTTGTGGGAATAAGCTTGTGATGCTTTATATAGGTTTGACAGATGCCATATTAAGGAGAACCATTGGATACTGTTGTTATGTAGGATGCCATGTGTAAAGATGTAGACGTGACACGTGAATTGACATGCAGATGCTGCGTGGTTGGTGAAACATGCAATGTAGAATTTTCACCTCATTCATAATGAATTGGTTTGATCAGATATTTACACACGCCTCTAACCCATGGCTGACTTTTGGTTTTGAAGTTCCGCATGTCTCACTTATCAAAAAAAAAAAATGTTCCGCATGTCTGGGTTTCTACTTTAGCACTTTAGAGTTGCCTATTCGAGGAGGCTTTGGTAGAGGTTACTACTTGGTACTTGTATGTTATTTCAAATTTGTTGCCCTACCAGCCACCCAATACCACCAGCAAAAAAGGAAACAAAAGGAAAATAATAATAAAAAAAATTTCCCGTAGAGGGGTATGTTAGTAGATGGTGCAACCGTGCAATGCTTTGGGACTTCAAATTTGTGGTTTAAACTTTAACGAGATAATAAATTTGATTAAACATGCTTTTGTGGTTGATTAAGTGTTTTTCTTTCCTTCATTATTTAATTTTGTTGTTGTTATTATTATTATTATTATTATTATTATTATTATTATTTTATAATATCCACACCTGGGTTCCAACTTCCAACCCCTTCTTGAATATTGCAACTCCCGTTTGAGAGATTCTGTGTTTGGACTTTGCATTTTTCCCTTATGTGGCTAACAATATTTCAAAATTGCAAAAGGCAAGGATAGTGCCCTTACACAATGTTATATTTATGTAATGTGTCAAATACAGAAGAAATAACAGATAAGAAATAATAACAAAAGCTGTTATGAGGGTAAAAGTTTATTACTTCACATGACATTTTGTTACATTAAGTTTAAAGCAAGTGTTATATTATAAAATTGTCATTTTTCAATATTGTTATATTCTCTGTTAATGGAGAAATTTAAATATGGAAAGCTATTCATTGACGCAAATGCCTAAAAAGAGGAACTGTTTCAAAAGTCAATGGCCCCAGTCAGGGTGCTGGCTGCCCAAATTTGGTGAAGGGTTCGGGTTCTAAACTTCTAATTAATGCTTGCTGTATATGTTTCCAACCTAAACAATATATTTCTGCTTTCTCTTGGTTTTATTATATATTTTTCATCTTTAACTGACAGGCATTTAAGATCATATCTATGAGTGGGTTTTCAGCCCTTAATACATATATACCAATATTTTGCAGGTTCCATCCTTCTTGTATGGGTATGACCATTGAAGAAGCAAAAAAATTGGAGCATTTCTTATGTTCTGATTGTTCATCTGATGACGACACGAAAAGATCCCTGAACTCATTCCCAGTATCACCATCTGTTGAGGCTAAGGTTAGAATACTTTTTACTCTCAATTTGAGATAACTGGCATTGCTGAGGTTTGTTATGGTTTAATATGATTCATGGCAGTGCAGTTATTCCTGTGCTGCATTGTGAGCATGCTCCTCTTGATTGATTCCTGTGGGTGGACATTGCTATTAATTGGGTCATCATGGGAAATGAACATATTTGCTCTCAGACACTTCTGCAACAGGAGTATCCAACTAAGCGATAAAATAATGTTCACCTAATGCACTTAAAAAGTTTTTTTTTTTCCTTTTCGGAAAGTAAATGCACTTAAAAAGTTCTGCAAACTAATTCTAAATGTTATCCTGTATTCCATGCATTTTTGTAAACAATGCCAGTATAACTAAAAATTTTGCGTAACGCTTGTATTTCATTTTTGCTTGGTGATAAGTATAATAGACATCAACTAGACACATGTACCTAAGTCTGTTAACATAGCTATGTTCCAATTGAGAAAAAACAATGTTATCAGAGGAAAGCATAATGCACTTTTGGTTACCAATTGCAACATCGTCAGGTAAAAATTGTCAATGACTAGTTTTGCCAGCTTTCCAACTGAAGCCGGTTATCATTCACAAGGGATGGTTTTTTATCTACAGCCATCACTGTTACTCAGACACCTTTTGCCATACATTGTGCATTAATTCCATGATAGCTGAGTTTTACCAGAATCTCCATACATCATTTGACCCTGGCCTTGAATTTTGCGTCACCTATATTTTCATGGTCTTGTCAAGAGAGTAGTACTGACCATGTGAGACTGTCAACTTTCTCATTTTATCCATTGCCGTCATTGTGTAGGGAGAATATATCTCAATTTTCTGAGTGAGGTGAAATCTGATAGTTGAGCCTGATACTGTTTTGTCTTTATATACATGTTCATAACTTGTAAATCTGTGATCCTAAAAATCTCCCGAAACTGAATTAAAGAAAATTATAAATAAGAAAAGTATCTCCAATCTCAAATGGGAATGGGTTGAAATCTAGATTATATATTTCAAAATGAATTTCTTGCACTCTTGCTGGTTCCATCCCTAGTTTGGCGCCTTGGTTATTTGGGTTGAAATGTTTTTGGTTAGGTCAAGCTTGTCTTTTTCTTATATTGTATTAAATGGTTAGTTGGTCGTTCATTAATGATTTTTTTCTTTTTCAATGTTAGGTGGAGCCAAAGCGCAGGAAGAGATGACAGATTGATACTGATGTATTACAAGGGAGGTACTCGTTTTCTTGCGTATTAGCTCGAGTATCGTTGTGTTGTGGAATTGTACAGTGCAGAGAAGATACAGTGCTTGCACAAACCCGAGGCTTTCCTTAATTTAAGGTGTTAAAAACTTTATAATCTGCAAGTGTCTGTATGTGTGTGCTAGACTTAGGAGACTACATTGTGATCTTTGTGATGTCCATGCAGAGCAATTTGTGCCAAAAAAAAAAAAAAAAAAAGGGAAAAGAAATTCAGTAACCTTAATCCAGTGCAAATTTGATAAAAACACATCAAAACTAGATGATTAAGGAACAAGCCTGAATCTTTTTCTGATGTGCTTATTGCTGTTTTTACACACTGCATATGGCCTAATAGCTCCAGCACTATATTTTTGTGCTCTATTTTATTTCCTTCTTTGCTTTCTTGAAGGAGGGAGGGGGTTGGGTTTTGTGCTCTATCCCAGATCGATTTTTGGCAACTCCAACAATTACAGAGGCTTCAGGCTTCACAGGCCATTACCTGATCCTGTCTACGCGGATTGATGGGAGGGAATGACTGAACACATACCTAACCTTTGGTATATTATTGGAAACTATATCTGCAAGGGTAATTATTATGCTGGGAGCTGCAGTAGTGGATCAAAGATTCATTTGGTCCTTTGGATTCTTTTGTAATTGTGGGATTGGGTTTCTTATACATTGTTTTGCAAGTTTTCTCCGGTTTTCATAGGATCTGTAGGATTGAGATTTGCCACAAACATTTTGGTTGATTTGTGACTTGGACTGCTCAACGGGTTATCCAAAAACCCTCTGAGCCTGCCGATTTAACTCGAATCACCACTTCGACGAAACCAATGGGTTTGATTTAGCCATGGATTGACTCCAATTGAGTTGGGTCCAATAAAATCGGATTGCTTGTCCATGACACGTTGTCAAATTTGTTTTCTAATTCTTGTTTTGAAGGGTTACTCTTGTGAAGATTCATCGTCTCCAACCTTCTTGTTTCTGTTGGAAAATATCTAAGAGGCTACTCTTTTTGTGTTCCGGTATAGGTGGTTTTCTCTAGGTTCTTCATTTTTATGCTCTATGACTAAATTGTATTCATCATTCTTAGCTTCTTACTACCAGTATATGTTTAAATGTCGGGGAACCAATTGAAATAGTTCAGCTTCTTTTCTGGAAAAATGTTTATTGCATGATTGAGCCAACAATTGGGAAATATGCAAGCTACAAGTCATCTTGTATGGCTAGTGTAAATAGCTTCACTTGATTGATAAACACGGGCGTGTTTTATAGTTAGGATAAACTTGCATACTGCTTATCTTGGGAGTCCGGACTGTGCTGTTCTCATGCAAAACCGGTCAGTTCTGAACCGTTGATCATTCAACTGTATGATGGATCTACGGACGATTTGACACTAGGGTGCCTTCTGCAAAAGGGAATCTGCTCTGTTGTCAGGACCGTCGGTGGCTGTCCATTCCCTTGGTTGCAATCCGGATCGTTCACATGTTTCAGAACGAAGAAATGCAACTGCTTCTACTGTTTGTCTCTCAGCTGTTAGGTTTTACGTTGGCACCACAGCATCCAGTGACTGATAGGAACACACATGGACGATGATGACTTAGTAGCATTCCTCCAAGATATGTAGAAAAAGGAAAATTACCTTGTTCGGAAGACAGATTTATGAGAGGTCTATTCTCGTGTGGTTGAATTGAAAAATGGTACAAGACCAGGTTCACTTGTTGGTTCTTTTTTTTATATTATTATTATGCACCTCAAAAGAAGTGGCTATGCGTGGAAAATTGGCAATCAATTTAAACCATCTGATTTCTCTTCCGTTTACTAGTGGTCCATGGATGAATGAATCATGGCCAGTCAGTTACGAATTGATGGGTCCTTTATGTGACTTGTCGTAGGCCTCGCGAGGACAAATCCAGAAGGTCTCTCTCACAGTGTCACATGATGGGTTTTGTAGCTTCAGGTGCTTCGTTTCGACTACCATTCATATTATATGATTTTAAGTTTACCAGTAACTAAAAGTAGGTGGGAGGCCTCACATTTTATATAATAGTTGTCAATATAGACTTTTTTGTGTAATAGACTATTTTAATGGTTGTCAATATAAACTCATGATCCATTTTTTGTTACCAATACCATCAACCACGGTTAATGAATACATATCTTTAGATTTTACGCTTTGGTATCAAATGGTGTTGAATTTTTTTAAACACTCTTTAGGTCCAGTTGAAAAGATCATTTAGAGTTTATTTATTTTTATTTATTTTTGGTATTGTTCATTGCTACGTCCGTGGATAAATGAGGAAACACCAAAAAAAACTTTTTTCCTGATTTGAGCTTTTTTGGCAAGGTATTATTTTTAAATCGTAACAAAAGTTACAAAGACAACAAAAATTATTGCCACACATTTTGGCTGAACGTTGCAATGTGGTGATTCAGGATAGGATGGATGGTGGAAGTGACAATGGTTTCACGTGACTTGACTGAGTCATTAATGTCAACTCAACCGAGTCAAAGGCTGAACCAGGGATACACCCAACTTTTACAGTTGAGATCAACCAAGATTTTTTAAAAAAATAAAAATTAAGAGAGAATGAAAATAATTGGTCCCATTCCCAAACACGGTATAAGCGTCTCGAACACTGACCCAGGAAGGGAGACACAGAGGGATCCTCTTATTTTTGTTTTATTTTGCAATTTTATTTATTTTTTGTTGTTTATTTTCGCTTTATTTTCCCTCTCTCTCAACGTCCATCGAGGATGACTCTCTGTCTCTCTATCTAGAATTGAATCACAGATTTATTAGGGTTTCGGATCAATTCTTCGGGGCAATCCCTCAGCTCCTTTTTCTAGGGTTTCTTTCTAACTCTTTTTCAGGGATTTCAATCCTACCATCAATGTTAGTCCTCTTTTCTCTTTCGCAATCTCTTCAGGTCTCACGCTGTATCTTCAGTAAAAGATCAATTTTCGAAGTCGTTCTCGAAAATAGTCGCGGCTTTGAATTAGAAGCATTTTGATGTGGACGTCTCTCTGGTCGATGTTGCCTTGTTGGTGCAAGGTATGAGCTTCTAGTTAGGGTTTGTTTTTATATAATTACATTTCCATCCTCCATGACTTGTATTGACAATATACGTATATTGAAGTATTTCAAGCTGGACACTTTGATTGTTGGCCAAAGGGATTGTATTTAGGGAAGGGTTAGGGTTTGTGGACATGTTTAAGCAGATACTTGGTAGGCTTCCTCGGAAGCCATCGTCAAAATCTTCGCACAATAACGCGAACAATGACGGTGCGCTTCCGTCTACGAATTCTTCAAATTCCAATTCCAATTCCACAGGCGTTGGTCCAAACGGCAGCTCGAGAAGCACTGCGGTTCCTGGGAAAGCTTCGAATTCAGGTTCTGGTACGTCTCGCTATAGCAACGGGACTCATGCTCCACCATCGAGTATGGTTAAGTCGAATCAAGGGAAGAAATCGGGTCCCATGGCTGTCCAAGTGGGTCCGGTGCTGACTTCTGCAACGTATGAAGCTTTGCCAAGTTTCCGGGATGTTCAGAGCTCGGAAAAGCACAACCTTTTTATTAAAAAGTTGAATATGTGTTGTGTTGTTTTTGATTTCAGTGACCCATCAAAGAACCTCAAAGAGAAGGATATAAAGAGACAGACATTGCTTGAACTTGTTGATTATGTTTCCTCTGTAACTTCGAAATTTAATGAGATCACAATGCAGGAAATTACAAAAATGATAGCTGCCAATTTGTTTAGAGCCTTACCATCCTCAAATCACGACAGCAAATTACCAGATATATATGACCAGGAAGAGGACGAACCTACAATGGAACTGGCATGGCCTCATCTTCAGATTGTGTATGAGTTTCTTCTCAGATTTGTGGCTTCGTCGGAGACAGATGCTAAGCTTGCCAAAAGATACATTGACCATGCTTTCGTATTGAGATTGCTTGATCTCTTTGATTCAGAGGACCAACGAGAGAGGGAGTACTTGAAGACAATTCTACACCGCATTTATGGAAAGTTCATGGTGCATCGGCCTTTTATCCGGAAAGCTATAAACAATATCTTCTACCGTTTCATATTTGAGACAGAGAAACATAGCGGGATAGCAGAGTTGCTTGAGATCTTGGGCAGTATAATTAATGGTTTTGCCTTGCCTCTGAAGGAAGAACACAAGCTTTTCCTTGTCCGCGCCTTGATTCCCCTTCACAAGCCCAAGTGCGTATCAATGTACCATCAGCAACTTTCGTACTGCATCACTCAGTTTGTGGAAAAAGATGTCAAGCTGGCTGACACGGTAATTCGAGGTCTTCTGAAGTACTGGCCTATCACTAACAGTTCAAAGGAAGTTATGTTCCTTAGTGAGTTGGAGGAAGTTCTAGAAGCCACCCAGGCTGCAGAATTTCAGCGGTGCATGGTCCCTCTGTTCCGCCAACTTGGTCGCTGTCTCAACAGCTCACATTTTCAGGTACTGCATTCGGACTGCTTTCCCCCCATCTTTGCTGGCTTTGTTACTTTTATCATGTTCTGGTGGGTACATACATCATCATTGTTAATAGTCATTGGTGTTCTTTTCTTTGTTTTGTTTTCTTTTGAAGTTCAACTTGGTTTTTTCAAACATCTTCTCTATCTAGAGTCCTTACTGGATATATTCTTTCTGGGGCATTTTATTAATTTTTTCCATTGGCATAATGAGTCTTGTATAGGGTATTGTTCCGGAGAATTGCGTTTCTAATGACCTCTTTCAATCTGCCACAAGGTTGGTTTTATAACTCAGATGCATAAATGCTCAAAATTTTGATAATAATGGTCTCAAGAATATTGTGGATGTGCGTATGTTGGTCTTTATAGCTGTATAGACATCTTGTTGGACTGGTGAGTCTTCCAATAAATAACTGTCATGGTCTTTCTTTTACTTATGTCATTCATAGTTCTTATCTTGTAGCCTGTGGCATGGATCATAATGATCATGTTATTTAGTGAAAGAAGACGTGGAATGTAAATCCATCAGTGAAATAGGCAAGCATCTTTGCTGATGTTTTTCTTTTTTCCTTTTTTCTTTTTTTTTTTCCATGTTTCTTTTTCAATCTTCAATTTTCATGTTCTTTGTCTTTGTAATTTCAAGTTGATAGGATGGATCATGGAGTCATCTTGCCTGCACAATTCATTAATTGTGAAGTGTGCTTGAGGGAGAGTCAAAGATGTATTAGTCATATAATATTGGTCATTTGACTTTATTAACTTGCTATTGTTACATCATTGCACAGATTTTTTGTTTTTTTTTGGTGATTTCTTGTCCTAATTTTAGAGTGATAAAGTTATAATCGGCTACATAGTCCACATGTCTGCGCTGTGAATTTTTGGGTGATTAACATGATACCATTTAGCTCATAATGCCATTATGTGCCTAGGAAATAACTTTACTAGAAAGTATTGACTCTAATTAATTTGTAGAAGGCCACAACCCAATGGTGGCCTAGTAAATTCCATTTTTTTCCCCCTTAAAATAAATAAAAATGATCACATTTGGGAGATGGCTAGAGTAGCACCAATTGGAGACAAAATGAGAGAAAATAGGTTAAGATGGTTTGGGCATGTGCAAAGAAGACCTTTAGCGTGCCAGTTAGGAAACATGACATAGTCCACATTGATGGTAATACTAGGGGTAGAGGAAGGCCAAAGTTAACGTGGGTAGAGTTAGAAAAGAAAGATATGATAGCATGTGGATTGATGAGGTTATGGCCTTAAATAGAGCAGAATAGAAACATGAGATTCATATAGCTGACCCCAATTGGGAAAAGGCTTGCTGGTGGTGGTTCATTTTTTCTTGGAGATGCTCACAGTCGTTTGTGCACTTGCATAATATTTGCACTTGAATTTACTAACCTAGGCACCATTTCTTGTTGTGATGGGAAAACTTTTGTGGCAAAATTCATGATGTCAAGTGTGAAAATGTAGGTTGGAGTACAAGAGCTTGTAAAGGTTTTCTGCGTATTTAGTTTATTACTCCTAGGGCTCCCTACATTAGGAAGACCATCTATTGGGTTTCTAGCTTCTAATTTGTTAGTCTCTTGCCATGATTTTACGTAAAAGAATATTATACCCTTGTGTTTAATGTCTTAGGATATTATGTCCTTGTGTCTTTAGAAGCATTCATCTATTAATATATTTCAAGTATAATCTGTCTCTTTTATTGGGGATTTAGGATTAGGATTATACTCCCACAGAGTGTGCTAGTCTTGGAATATATGTACCTATGGTTAAATTCTATCCTACTCAACTCAACTCAATAAAAAAAATCTCGAACTTTTTTGGGGATGGCTACTTGCTTATTGAAGGCCGTAACTCGGTTGTATCACATACCATTATATATTTCCTAAATGTTTCAACCATTTTAGTTTTGGTCTTCCTCTTCCCTAGCATCACTCTCAATAAATAATGCATCACATTTTTCATTTGGTACAGTTATTGACTGTTTTGCACATGGCCAAACTATCTTAATTGATTTTCTCTCACTTTATTTTGAATAAGTGCTGCTTCAACCATCTCACAAATCTGTATGCTGCTAGTTATATATATTTTTATTTGTCTTGCCACATATCCATCTCATCAGTCCCAATTCTGCCATCCTCAATGTGCAATATGTTGTTTATTGGCAACCCAATACTCTCTCACAAAGTATGACTTGTTTAATAAATAATTGTTTGATAAAAATTAACCTTTAAAAATTTGAGGTTTACACCGATAAAACTATGCCAGAAACACTCTTCCTTTTAACTGTCTTACTTCAATTCTATAATTAACATCATCTGCAATTTATCCCTCCTTGCGCATAATAATGCCGGTTACAAAAATATTTTCCTTTTGGTATTGCTCGAGTCTCGAGCTTCACCTCATCCCTACTTGTAATTCTATGATGAAATTGTTTCCAAGCTGTACAATTCATAGAAATCTCTGGTGCTTCCTGCTTCCATCTTTTCTTTTACTGATCCATTAAACTCGTGTTTGCAATATGAATAATGATGAGGATATGCAATGTAGACTCTCTGGGCTGACTTTTTGAAGGTTGTCAACTTTATATGTAGTTGATATATACAGTTATAGACATTTAAAAGGTTTTCTATGAATGTGGAAATGATTGGGACTTATTTGATTGATTATAACCTGATCCCTCTGAACACAAGAATTCTATAATGGAACCCATTTTTCTACTGCTCTTTCATGGTTGTTAGAATGGTGCTCTACTTTTCGGTCATTATTCTATTGACAATTTTTCTTTTAAACATGAGAGTGATGGTGTTATGTTTTCGAATTTCGTCCTGTCCTTGTATAGCTGCATGTGCTTGATGGTTTCAAGATGGAGAAGCGCATGCTTTTGGGTTTTTTCCTCAATCATGTTACGACCAAACTTCTGATAGGATAAATGGTTGGACTCGGCCCACGCTGCGTAGATTATGTCAACTTTGCACTCTCTGTGCTCATTGTTTTCAAAACGCGTCTACATAGGTAGGAGGTATCCCCCCTTAATCCCCCCCAAGGTGATGTGGGACATCACAGATCATCGGAGCCAGCATCCTCAGTGGCCTGAACCTCATGGGCTTGTGCACGTTCCTCTTATTTCCGGCTGGGGATTGGCTATACAAGAGCTCACGGTTTTCAAAATGCATCTACACAAGTAGGAGACATCCCTCCCTATAAGTGCCAACAACTTTCCCCCTTGGGTGATGTGGGATGTTTTTAGGCAAAAGTGCACTAAAGCCGCAACTATTGACTTGTTGCAAAACACACCCCTCAACTATCACTTGTTGCAATTATCCCCCTCCAACTTTCATGAGTGCTCACATTACATCCCTAAGATTGATTAAGTTAGATAAAATTACAAAACAGTCCTTCACAGTAAAAAAAAAAAAAAAATTGTCAAAATAAAATAGAATGCAATATTCATTTTTTAACGTAAAACATAAATAGCAATCTGAGCCTCGTTGTTCTGTTGAGGGTAGAGAGAGAGAGAGAAGAGGCGATGTTTGTGGACTGGTGTTGGGGTAGATGTGAAGACGAGAAAGAGGGTAGGTGGGTGTGGGTCTTGAGGTGGCGTGCAGAGGGACTGAGAGGCTTATTGCATACACAACACCTACCCCTACTCATCTTCTATATATCACCATTTCCTTACAAACCCATCTCCTATATATTATATACCACCATTTCAATTCAAACCTATTAATCAGTTTCATGTACATCAGGGTAGGAAATTACCCATAAATATACATAGTTTAATCAGTGCTTTATCAAAGTTTGAGGTGAAGTGTACCCACAGCGATAGTGTGTGTGTGTGTGAATATCAGGTTCTACGTATAAGTTAGATAACCAATCTTACCCTCGATCTCCTCTCTCTCTACCATCAAGAGATCAACCAACAGAAGAACCACTCCCTTTCCTCTTCCTTCTCCTCTTCTCTCTTTACTCTCTCCTTCCTTTCGTCCTCACCCCCCCCCCCCCCTTCCTCTTTCACCTGTTTGTTGAACTGGTGAAGTGTATAAAGTGTTGTAGATCTTTATTTATGTTTAATGTTAAAAATAGAATTTCGCATTCTATTTTATTTTGACATTTAAAAAAAAAAAAAATGTGAAGGACTTTTATGTAATTTTATCTCACTTAATCAATCTCGAGGGTGCAATGTGAGCGCTTTTGAAAGTTGGAGGGGGTTAATTGCAACAACTGATAGTTTAGGGGTGCATTTTGCAACAAGTCAATAGTTGAGGGGTGTTTAGTGCACCTTTGCCATGTTTTTACATCAATTTTTAACATATTATTATGAGAAATGCTTCCACACACACCCCCACCCACACCACACCACAATAAGAACAACACAACAACAACAACAACTGATTTGTTGGCTTATCAACGGGATATGATTATGGGTTAATTTTCATCAAGCAATCCCCATCATCCCTCATCCCCAACCCCCGAAATACATAAATAAAAATGATTTTGCTTGGGAATTTCATATTATTAGCTTTGGAATACTTTTCAGAAAATATATATTATTATCTTTGGAATTTATTCTTTTTGAATTATGGAGTACAACAGTATGCAGTGCATACCAAGGGGATGTTCTAACTAATTCTGAGTAAGACGTGGAGAAGAAAGGTTGTAGATTTCTGGGGGGGCAATATTCGTAATTACACTAAGCATACTTTTACATATGTTAAGAGGGGCGGATTTAAAATAGATGGTGTGAAGCCCTTATTTAATTCTTTTTAAGAGTAAAATAATGTTTAAGGCTGCTTTATTTAATAGTGTTAAGGACCAGTATAGCCGTGGATTTGGCCGCCCCTTCTAATATCTATTATGCATTTACAAAAAAGAAAAGAAAAGTTTTTAATTAACGAAGATGCCTCGTACCTTGGTAAGGCACGTTACTGGAATTACTGGAGTACCACATGTTTGGGCTCATGTCTTTTAAGGAGCTTGAATGAAATCTTCATACTGGAATTACTGGAGTACCACATGTTTGGGCTCATGTCTTTTAAGGAGCTTGAATGAAATCTTCATCCCTATCCCCGCAAACTATCCAAAAGAGGACGTGTGTGGTTCATTAATCTATATATTGATTTTTATTCTGCTAATGTTTTTTAAATCTTGATTTTTGCTGCATTCACATCTTTGTATCCTTATTCCTAGCCCACTTTCAGTTTTGGTCTACTGAAAATTTCTTATAAAGATGTTCGGCCTACTGAAAATTTCAAGTATTATTATTATTTTATTGGAGTGTTTCCCCACCCTCTTTAGAGCAGGATTAATCCCTTGAGATTCTCCCATACCATCTGTATCGGGTAAGCCTAAGGTAAGGTTAATTTTTTTATAGATTGAACATGAGACCTCTGAGATAAACCCAAATCTTTATGCCAACTTGACTACCCCAGGGAGATAGATTATGTTTTAGTTTTGGTGAAATTTTGATTTTTGTGAGAAAAGTTATATTTGAAGCATTATTTGTCAAATCATTTCAGCTATCTGGTTTGATTTTTTGTTATACAGGAAGGATTTTCCTAGGCATTTCCTGATCGTGTTTTATGGTTTATTCCTGGATCCTTAGTAATAGATTTTCATTGGTTTTCACTATGTTTGTTATCTGAAGTTCGAATATATGAGTTATTCAGATTCTACGTATATGGGGCATATGTTTATGTTCTGGCAAGTTGTGTGGCTTTTGCAAATTAAGTCAATCATCTATAATTCATAAACATAAGATAAAGAAATTTATACGGTTCTATACATATATATATATAGATATATATTATTCTATTGCCTTCCTTCTGATGTGAATGTATGAGTAATCAAGATTCAAAGCTATGAATAATCAAGATTTCCTTGAAGATTTGTTTACAATATGAATGGCTGAAGTCAGCAATTACTATAATACGAACAGGCGTTGACTATTGGGATGCTCTTGTGACTCATACATACACCTTCTTTAGCAAACACACATGATTGTTTATAAACAATATATAATTAGTTTATGTATCTAGATGCAGTAGACTCATGGTGTGCTAATCCATGAATTGAATCAAATGGACCCTTTTGGCTAAGATGTACCACACATGGCGTCTATTTCAAGTGGTTTTACTTGCATCTCCATTACGGGATGTGTGGAGATGAAATCTCAGTGGTGAGCTTAGGTTATGGATCACAGGACCAGGCCTGGATAACAAATTTTTGAAAAAAATAAATAAAAGGGAAAGGAAAAAAGGAAAAACGTTTTGGACTTTGGGGAGAAAAGATCATCTGTTTGGTATCTCTGGAACCTTGGAAATTCCTTGGGTGTTCAGTTGATAATAAATGAATGAATACGAAGATGTTGAAATGTATTATGTTAATTTATTCTGTGTGTGTACTGCAATCTAGTTTCATAATCAGCTTCATGAAGTGACATTTTTATATAACATTTGCTTTTACCATGTCAAGGTTAACAGCTTGTTGTCCTGTTTGTGCTCCTTTATTTGGGAAATTGCCAAGGGTTTGACAAGCTATTCAATTACTGTCTGTCTTTTTTTTTTTAGTTGGGTAGCCCTTTGAGGGGTAAAGATATGTTCAGGCAAGTTATTGAGATTTTTGATTTTTTGATTTTTTGGTGTAATAACAAATATATTTTGGATTCCCATTAATCTTCTTTTTCGAAGAACTGATTCCGTGTTCTCTTTCAGGTTTTAAGACCCTAGTTGTGTTTTACTTTCTTTAACATGTGCATGCTGATTTTTAGAAGGAATCACCTTTTGTGCATAAACCATTATCTGTGTAGATCAGAACAATCACATGATAGGGACACAAGTTTTACGTTATTTGACAAGCTGTACATGCATAGAGGAGAGGGAGTTCAAATCAATCATCAACAATGAAATAGGGTCATAAGAAAATCACACTTTACCTTTAAACTCTGACCATGAAACCCTAGTTCATAATAACGCTATCAAACTGCTCTATTTGATTACTGTAGACACTAAGTTGGGTTGAATATGAAAACAGACCCCCATTACAATTTGGGACGGAGCAGCCCAAAAATTACTGCAAAACCGACTTACAGAAACTGGGTACAACCGAACAATAGATCCCTGAAGCACACAGAATTCAAGCCATGTAACAGTTTCACCTGAAAATTCAAAAAGAAGTTTATTATTACTATCTGTACTTACAATCTATCAGCTCAGTGCTTACTTCTATGCTCCATTATTCTCTTAATAATTTACTATCTATATTTATTGGGTTCAAAAGTTTCAGTTTCTTGATGTGATGTCAAGGACTCAATGCTACTATTTCTGTCCATCAACATAGTGGCAGGTGTCCTTGCACAAGGCATGTCTAGATAATTTTCACTAGAGATTGAAGATTTTGTATTACTTTTTACCGTCTATGACCTCAGGAACCAATTGTCTAGTTGGAAAAAGGGAGTTACCTGCATGGTTTTGGAGGCTGGTAAATTAATTTATGCTTCCAGATTCTTCTCCCTTAAATTAACTGGTTTTTAGTCTTCGACTCAGCCTCAACTGGATTAGTTTTTTGTAGGACCTAACTCTGCTTGATATCATCCTCATATCTCACAAGTTTGTTATGACAAACATCCCTCCAGATATTTATCTTGTCGCTCGCCTTTTCTGCCCCTGCCCTCACGTGTCTTGTAAATTTTCTTAAGTCAATTGCGAGAGCCGGAATTATGAACACGTATTCAATCAGGTAAACAATTTGGTTGCACCTCAAGCACCATCAACATTGCTATCCATGCCATTAGCAAGATTCCTTTAGGAAAGGCCAAAAACGATATGGGTGGGAGGAGTTGTGATAAAGACATAGCAAACATATTAGGGCCAAAATAGAGGGGTTTGGGGTAATTGAATCATGGTTAGTTGTGGATAGAAGTTTCTACTATCTTTACATTAACTGGAAGAGTTGAGTAAACATTGTGTCAAATATATATCCAAATCAAAGCGTTGCAAATTTTGTATTCTACTATGTTTATCCTGAATAGGGTTTAAGGGTTCCTTGTTCTCCCTAATGTGTTTGGTTATGTCTGGCAGGTAGCTGAGCGTGCCTTGTTTCTGTGGAACAACGATCATATAAGGAATCTGATCACACAGAATTGTCAAGTGATACTGCCAATAATTTTTCCTGCTTTGGAGAGAAACACACGAAGTCACTGGAACCAAGCTGTTCAAAGCCTCACACTTAATGTGAGGAAGATATTTTCAGATGCTGACCAAGAACTCTTTGATGAGTGCCTAGTCAGATTCCAAGAAGATGAAATTAAAGAGAAGGAGACTCAGGAAAAGCGGGAATTAATATGGAAGCGTTTGGAAGATGTTGCCGCCTCCAAGGCTGTAAGCAATGAGGCTGTGCTTGTTTCTAGGTTTGGCTCTTCTGTTGCCATAGCTACCAACACAAACCAATGAATAACTGCAGGTAGTGGTGATCAGCAGGACATGCAAACTATAGAAATTACCATTGGCAGCTATGAACATATCCATAGGGAGTTCAGGGATTGGTTAGCCTCACTTTGCGAAGGTTTACTGCATATTAGTTCGCTAGCTGATTTTGACTAGTGAAGGTGGGGATTTGTGGATATCGAGGTGGCTTTTTTTTTTTTTTTCTCTCTCCCTTTTGCTGGGGTTGATGGCTCATTCGTTTTTAATCTTGTTAGCCATGGGGGCTAAATTGTGTGTATCATATGGAATCTGGTTTATAGAAGTAGTTTCTCTTTGGATTTCTTGCCTGATTATATTTATTTTGTGTAATGAAGCAAAGAAACTGTTTCCTTGTGCTTTAGTCCTGGCACTTGCTTTCTTTTCATTTTTCATCGCTTCTCGGAAGTTTATATGGCAAATTGTATTAGATCTCACTTGAACACCTTATTTGTAGCCAGTCATGTCTGGCGATACCTGAAGAAGTTTGTAAGGGCCGAAAGAAGAGCAAGGAGAAATTTGCTAGTGTCTTCCACTGCTAGTCTCACTAGTAAGAGTTTTTACCTGGAAACTTCTGCACTATAGGGAAGCCATTATTTTCTTGTGGATAACTTTTGTGGTGGTGGGCTGGGTATTGTTTTAGAAAGGCCTATCCTATTTCCAGATTACAATAGAACAAGGAAGCAGAAGAAACATTATTTGTGGCGATATGATATGATCCACCTTTCCACCATTTACTGCCAGGGCACCGTGTCCATGGTCGATACTGTAATTGTGAATCTTGATTATAATAAAAAATGCTATTTAAAGGGGCTTTATGTCTTTGATGCAGTGAATAAAGTTCAAATGTGGGTTTCATCCACTAGGTCGCAAATATAGAAATTCTTACTTGAAAGAAAGCGAAAATGTTAGTTTAATGACTTCTCATTCATTTTCTTAGGTGTCAAATGCTTTTGAATTTCATTAACTACTGTAAAGTATTGTTAACAAAATGTAGTGCTTGACATTGTCACGCGCATTAGACTCGGAGAATCATTGAATTGATCTTAAAATTAAGGAAGAGAAAATTACGGTCTGGCTTGGTTTAATCTTTTAAATATAATTGTTTTTTTTTTTGAGAATTGAAAATCAAATGAGATTTTCGGTTAAAAAAAAAAAAAAAAAAAAACACGTTTGCAAATAACTGTTTAAGTAGACTTGTTTTCTCGAATAATATGATTTGTTTAATTCACAACCCAGTGTCATATATATACATTAGAGGGATGATATATAATCAGTTATATCAATTGCTCAAAATAAATAAATAAATAGGAAGATAGACACAAATCTTAATTATAGTTTAAAATTTTAAATAAAAAGTAGTAAAAGTTTTGTTAGCAAATGATTCCAAAAGGAAGTGCTGGAAGGTGCTAGTGCTTACTCCAAGCCTTGATCATAGTGGGAACCTGGCAACGTTAAGGATGATTGGTGCAGAATATGATTAATAAGTGTATATTTTGACAGGTACTACTGTGCCAAAATGCTACATTTTAGTAATTCTACTCCAATAGTACATTTTACGCAAAATGCTATTTTTTAATACAACCACTATTCTTTTTCAACTACTATTCTCACCATTCATATTTGTATCAATAATATTAATATTAGGCACATTCCAAGTCAAATTGTAGACATTAGAAGGAAACTAAAATTAAACCTAATTAAAAAGAAGTACAAATCTAAAATATCTAGTCAAAAAAGGACCAAAGAAAACAAATTTTTTATAATTATTTTACCACTATTTGTGAATTAATTTTTTTATATAATTTTTTTTTTCGGAAATTTAAATATATTATATATAATATATATGTATATTATATATATATATATATACACATATAGAGATGCGAGTGGGTGATGACTGGTGAGAAACGGCACCATTTTGGGAAATGAAAGACTTGCCAAAAAAATTTGGCAGCTGCCATATATGAAAAAAAATTTGAGAATCTCAAATTTTGAGAGCTCAAATAAGAGTCCATTGGAGAAGTAACTCTCATATTTTGAGTTTGAGAGGGCCAAATGAGAGAGCATTGGAGTTGAGGAGGGTTATTTTGGTAAGTTGAATGGTTAGTTAATAAATTCTTTCAAATTCTTTTATTTTTTCCTGAATTTCTTTAATTATAATATTTCTTATCAAATCCCTTCAAATCCAATTCCTTTTTTAAATCACATTGTTCGAAATAAGTCAAATCCTTTTTGAAATCCAATTCATGGGATTCCAAACACAGTGTTAATTATTTATTTATTTATTTAGTTTTGTGTAAATCTCATTTTCATATGTTCCAAACACGGTCTAGTAGCCTCAAACCAGAGAGAGTTCTTATATTTAAATATTTAATGCCAAGCATTTCTTTTTATTTATTTGTTTATTTTATTTTTTATTTAATTTGTTTATTTTTGCTTTATTTTCCCCCTGCTCTCTCTCTACGCCCGCCGAGCACAGCTTTCTCTCTCTAAGCTTGATTAATTCAGGGTTTCGGATCAATTGGCAATCCAATTCCAGTGTTTCATTGTCCTTTGTAGCTTCTTCTCAGATCTTCAATCAAATCATCAGTGTAAGTCCTGTCTGTCTCTCTCTCTCTCTCGCAATTTTTTTCACGTCTCACTCTGTATATTCAGTTAAAGATCAAAAGCATTCGATTTTCAAAGTTCAGTTCTCGAAAACAGTTGCGATTAGAATTCGATGTAGACGGTCTCAAACAGCGACGATGTCATGTTGGTGCTAGGTATGAGCTTCTAGCTAGGTTTTTTCTTTTTGTATAATTAATTACATATGGTTTGCTTTGAGAACGTACGTATTTCAAGGTGGACACTTTGATTGTTGTTGTCCAAAGGGTTCGTATTTAGGGTTTCGTGATATGATTAAACAGATACTGGGTAAGCTTCCTCGGAAGCCATCGTCAAAGTCTTCGCACAATGGCAGTGCTCCTTCGTCTATGTATTCTTCAAATTCGAATTCCAATTCCGTAGGAGTTGGGCTAAACAACAGCTCGAAAAGTAATGCTGTTCCTGGGAAACCTTCGAATTCTGGTTCTGGTGTGTCTCGCTCTAGCAATGGGACTCATGCCCCAGTATCAAGTACGGTTAAGTCGGATCAAGGGAAGAAGTCAGGTCCCATGGCTGTACAAGTGGACTCGGTGATGAATTCTGTCACATTTGAAGCTTTGCCAAGTTTCCGGGATGTTCCCAGCTCCGAAAAGCACAGCCTTTTTATTAGAAAGTTGAATATGTGTTGGGCTGTTTTTGATTTTAGTGACCCCTCAAAGAATCTCAAAGAGAAGGAAATAAAGAGGCAGACATTGCTTGAACTTGTTGATTATGTTTCTTCTGCAACTTCTAAATTTAATGAGATCACAATGGAGGAAATTACGAAAATGATAGCTGCCAATTTATTCAGAACCTTACCATCCTCAAATCATAACAACAAATTACCAGATATATATGACCCAGAAGAGGAGGAACCAATGATGGAACCAGCATGGCCCCATCTTCAGATTGTGTATGAATTTCTTCTTAGATTTGTGGCCTCATCGGAGACAGATGCTAAGCTGGCTAAAAGATACATTGACCATTCTTTTTTATTGAGATTGCTTGACCTCTTTGATTCAGAGGACCAACGAGAGAGGGAGTACTTGAAGACAATTCTACACCGCATTTATGGAAAGTTCATGGTGCATCGGCCTTTTATCAGGAAAGCTATCAACAATATTTTCTATCATTTCATATACGAGACCGAGAAGCATAATGGGATAGCAGAGTTACTCGAGATCTTGGGCAGCATAATTAATGGGTTTGCCTTGCCTTTGAAGGAAGAACACAAGTTTTTCCTTGTCCGCGCCTTGATTCCTCTTCACAAGCCCAAGTGTGCGTCAGTGTACCATCAGCAACTTTCATATTGCATAACTCAATTTGTGGAAAAAGACTTCAAGCTGGCTGACACGGTAATCCGAGGTCTTCTGAAGTACTGGCCTATGACTAACAGTTCAAAGGAAGTTATGTTCCTTGGTGAGTTGGAGGAAGTTCTAGAAACCACCCAGGCTGCAGAATTTCAGCGCTGTATGGTCCCTCTGTTCCGCCAGATTGGACGCTGCCTCAACAGCTCACATTTTCAGGTACTGCTTTCTCCACATCTTTGCTGGTTTTGTTATTTTTATCATCTTGTGGTGGGTACTTAATACATCATAATTGTTAATGAGAACAAACATCCTTTTCTACCAACTGGTTCTAGAATTTTGAACTATTGCGGGATAACCTTGTCCTAGACTAGGTTAATGATAGTTTAGTTAGATGAATGGACCTTATATGCCATGTGATGTGGTCTATAAAGAAGGTTGAAGAGCAAGTAATGAAATTTGAAGTGGTGGGGAGTGGATGCATGGAGATTAAAGTGGGTATTCAGTTTTTCTTTTGTATTGACAACTGTTCAAGGTGTGGAGTTTGTGCTGAAGATAAACTGATGTGGAGATGATCATTTGAGGAGAGCAGGCAGGCAAAAGGGCCTCTCTTATCCTGTCAAAAAAACTTTTTTAGGTTATTTTTGTTTCCTTTTCTAATTTCCTCTGTGATTTCCATGAATTGGGCTTTTTGTTTTTGTTAGTTGTTTTTCACTATGTTCCAAATAGGTAATGAGTTTGACATATTTGGGATGAGAATTATAATTATTTATTTATTTTTTTGTTGTTGACATGAATGAGTTCTGTGAAACTCATAAGCATGATGATTGAAGAAGAGACTCTTAGATGGGAGCAATGATTCGTAAGCACGGCGAATGAGAAAAATAAACTATCTTAAGAGGGAGCACTGATACAAGATGAAGCTAATATGTTACTTTCATTAAGTTAAACATTATGATTGTTCAATAAATGGAGTAAAGCTTTGTTGAATTGCTTTAGATGTTAGTTGTTTGACAAAATTTGATGTCAATAAATGTTGAGTAGTGGAAGGAGAAAATATCCTTATGGCTTGTAGAAGTGTAGGCTATTAAGTAAGAAATTTCTTTTGAGCACATGATGATGCATAATTTCGGATGCAAGAGATGATAATAGAAAAATGAGAAATGGCAGCATATTGCTAGAAACAGAGCGTTTCAACTTCCAAATTGGACTCTGAAGAAGTCATTCTTGGACTTGATCCAGGTATACCCAATATAAGATGGTTAAGGATGTATCGGTCATATGCTTCGGTTAGATGATAATCTATTGCATCAATTTGGATATTCTATATCAAAATTGTTATAGACCCCCAAAGTTTATCATGTTTAAATAGATATGGATTTCTCTTTAGAATTTAAACGGAGTTTTTTTTGTTATTTTAGTAGAAGATTATTGGAAAGGAGCTAAACCGGATTGTATCAAAACATGCCCAAATTTAATATTGTTGACATATGTTGGCCGGTCTTTTTTTATCCTCTCTTTTTACTTTTTAAAATTCTTACCAGATGAACATGGTTGCATTGAATATGAACAATGTTCTGCTAGCTCTTGGCCTCATTCATAGAACTATCCAGAAACCAACCATCTTTTTTACTCTTTAGGCTCTGTCAAATATATTTCAGGGGGCTTTGTTTTTTTGGATACGGGAATAGAACAAAGCAGATTTGGCCTGGCCGCCAGAATTTGACGTGCGATTTTAGCAGATATGAACAGCATTTTTCCTTTTCTATATAGTCTTTCCACTTAACATTTTTTTGATCAATGCTACAGCTGTTTGGTTCTGATATGTCAAAGAACTAGCCCTACCTTCAAAAATTTAAAGTTACTAAATGACTACAGAGTACATGATGCGGAAGTTTTGTCTCTATTGGTTTAAAACTAACTTACCCTTCAGTTGCACTGCAGGTTCAAGAGACTTTCGGTTGGAGCTGCAAAATGTATTTTATTGAAAGATTAAGTTACCACTCATACACAACAAAAAGAAAATGAAAATTAGTAAAAAATTATATCTATTTAGAAGCACTTTTTGTTTATTTATTATAAATCAAGCGTACAGAATTCCATTGGTCTAATTCGGGATCTTTTGATAGATTTTGACTCTATCTATCCTACAAACATATCAAGATAAATAATATCGAATGGGTCTTTAGTTTTATTTGTGACCCTCAAGGAGCCGTATGAGGTGAAAATCTCATGTCCTGTTCTGTAATAATTGATGGGAACAGTGATGTCATCACTGACTATGAGTATCAAACAGTTCAAGTACAGTTGATATAGTTGAAGCGTAGTCAAAGTATGGTTTTTGGGGATGGAATTTGTGGCATCAACCTACAGGGTTTGTCACTTTTCTAATTCTTCCCTAGAAGAGTGAAAGATTACCTTTCGATTTACCAGAAGCAGAAGAATTAGTAGCAGGTTATCGAACTGAAGTCAAGAGAATGGTATGGCCTTAGGAGAAAGTAATGTAATTATTGCAGTGTGCTGCATATGCTTTACGAGAACTTGGATGTAATTTTACTTGCAGAGAAGACAAGAAGCTGCGATGGAAGTTATATACATGCAAGAATGTTATTTCACCATCATATGTTATTGGCTTTTGGTGACAATCTAGAATACAATTATTGAATATATCCACTATAGGTCTTGTTTGATAATTATCTTCCTATATTTTTTGTTATAAAGACAACTAAAGAAGTTTATGGCTACTGGCTGCTCATAAGCTGGAAAAGCCATGCAAATTTCCTTAAAATCCACCTGCAAATACACTTTGACTTTACTAATTCCAAATTCTTTTGAGGTTTAAATTGTTTAATCACTGCCATCATAATCTATTATTTTCTATGAACAATTCCCTATCAGGACCTCTTTTTTCCATGAAGTATTTGATACTTGACTCGCATGTATATATGCAAAAATTGAATTTCCTGCTAAATGTTTCAAAATAGGGCTCCGTTTGTTTCGAAGTAAAATATTTTTTTCAAAGAAGATGTTTGGGAAGGTGTAAGTAGAGGTTGAGGCCAAGTCCACCGGGTGGGGCGTGTTAAATAACTTGCTGAAAATTGATGGGTAAGTTATTTTTGTTAAGTTTTAATTTTTTTTTTCTTCGTAAATATTTTACGACAACAAAACACCAGAAAATAAAAAAATATTTTTTGAAAAATATTTTACATCTAAACAAAAAGAGCCTAGATTTTGATTGCTGCTTGTACGTGTGATCTATTCATGCTTGCTTCTCTGCTCCGTTATTCTCTTAATAGTTGACTGTCTACATTCATTGGGGTCAGATAGTTTCTTGACATAATGCCGAGTCTATCGTTTCATTCTATTAATGTAATATTCTATTATCATTTTTCAATAGAGATTGAAGATTTTGTTATTACTTTTTTACCATCCAAGACCATAGGCACCAATTTTCAAGTTGGGAAACGAGAGTTATTTGCATAGTTTTGGAGGATATTACATTAATTTTTAATTCCAGATTCTTTTCCCTTAAATTAAGTGGATTTTTTAGTCTTCACTTAGCATCAAATGAATTATTACCCGGAAGGACTTTGCTCTGCTTGATATCGTACTCATATCTCACGAGTTTGTTATGACAATCCTTTCTTTGCATTTCTCCAGAAATTCATCCCGATGTTCACATTTTTTTGCTCACTTGTGTCTTGGAATTCTCACAAGTCAACTATGAGAGCTGGAACTGTGATGTACATATTCAATCAAGCATACAATTAGCAGCACCTCAAACAACCTTAACACTGTTATCCGTTCCTTTAGCAAGATTCCTTTCAGGGTGGATGTGTTGCAAGGAGAAAAGGCCAAAAATAGCATGGATGGGAGTTGTGATAAGGACATAACAAACATTTAAGGGCCCAAATAGAGGGGTTTGGATGTAATTGGATCATAGTTAGCTGTACCTATCCAAAAAAAAAATTGGATCAAAGTTAGCTGTGAATCAATATTTCTACTCTCTTTGCCTTGATTCATTGGAAGATTTGAGTAAACACCGTGTCATATAAATAAAAATCAACGCATTGTAAATTTTGTATATTACTACGTTTATCCTGAATAGGAATTATGTGTTCCTTGTTCTCCCTAATGTATCTGGTGTTATCTGGCAGGTAGCTGAGCGTGCCTTGTTTCTGTGGAACAATGATCACATAAGGAATCTGATCACACAGAATTGTCAAGTGATACTGCCAATAATTTTTCCTGCTTTGGAGAGAAACTCGCAGAGTCACTGGAACCAAGCTGTTCGGAGCCTGACACTTAATGTGAGAAAGATATTTTCGGATGCTGACCAAGCACTCTTTGATGATTGCCTAGTCCGATTCCAAGAGGATGAAATTAAAGAGAAGGAGACTCAGGAAAAGCGGGAATCATTCTGGAAGCGCTTGGAAGATGTGGCAGCCTCCAAGGTTGTAAGCAGTGAGGATGTGCTTGTTTCTAGGTTCGGCTCTTCAGTTGCTATTGCTACCAACACAAATCCGTGAACAACTGTAGGTAGTTGATATCAGCAGACCTTGCAAACCGTAAAAACAAATTTACCCTTTTCAGCAATCAACAGATCCAAAGGGTGCAGTTTAGCTATTGGCCAGCCCCAACTTCACTAGCATATACTGCATATAAGTTGTCTAGGTGGTTGTGACAAGTGAAGGTGGAGATTTTGTGGATACTGAGGTGGATACTTTCTTCCCCCGGTCCCTTCCTTTTTCCCCTTTGCTGGGGTTGATGGCTCATTCCTTTTTAATCTTGTAAGATGTTAGCCATGGAGGCCTAGTTGTGTGTATCATAAAGAATCTGATTTAAAGTAGTGCCTATTCGGATTATTTTTTTTTCCCAGAAAGCGTCTGTTCGGATTTCCCACCTGATGATATTTGTTGTGTAATGAAGCAAAATAATCTGTTTCCTTAGTGTTTTGATCCTGATATTTGCTGTCTTTATCATTTTTATTTGTTTTTGTTTCTGTCCGGTATGCAAACTAAAGAATCTTTACCAGAAAACTTCTGCAGTTTGATGTCAAACTCCATTTAGCTTCTATACAATCCGTCACATAGAGTTCACTTTCTTCACTATAAGGAGGCCTAAATGTTCTTCTGTGTCTATTCTTTTGAGGGTGGGCATTAATGTAAGAAAGTGCAGACTTGTTTGCTGATTACAATAGAAAAAGGGAGTGTAAGAAACTTCTATTTTGGGGTTGTGCAATTAGCAGAGGCAGCTCCCATAACTGGTCTGCAATCGCCTGCTCTGAACCAACTATTGCTTGGTGGCTGTGCAATTAGCAGAGAGTAGCAATAGCATCACATTTAGAAAGCAATTTTTTATTATTATTTTAAATTTTAAAAGCAAAAGGAATCATAGTTATCCCAAAAAGAAAATTAAAAAATAATTACTCCTTAAATTTTCTGCGGGGTAAAAAAAAAAAAAAAAAAAAATTTGCTCTTTCGAATAACCAATTACTAGCATTTAGCATAATACTACCAGGATATCACTGCCACAAAACCACATGCAGCATTGTCACCACCATCTCCGTCACCATCCCTACCAACAATACATTAGGATTTCTGCCAGTATGCAGGCATATCTGTGAAAGTTGTTACCAACAAATATCTGAAATTATTCCCCCACAGTAAAAGAAAAGAAAGTTTCTATTCTTGGTTACCAACCGTTCTTTCTGTAGTATTCGTTAGCTCATCATGGATTATATATGCAATTGACTATTTCTGGCAGAGGAGATTGGAATTAACCCATCAATACAATCTCCCTACAGGAATTAGAACAAGACGGATTTACTTGAGACATGAATTGCAGGAATTCTGATGAATCATGAATGTTAAAGACCATTTCTTTTTAGTTCCATAATATACGTCACTCATCAATTAGATTTTTGAAGTACAAAAAGTTTATAGTATTAAAATAAGGAAAGAAGACGAAAGATCAATATCTTATCAGAGGAGCCAAGTCAAGATATGTAATGGACAGCTACCAGTCATCACCAAAAGCTCGGAAGCTGTAACGTTCTTGGTAGAAACCATTGAAGAAGAGGTCAGCCTCGAACCACTTAGGGTAACGAACAAGGTCACCAGCCACAAACTGCATGAAGCGCTCACTCCCTTCAGGCACAACCCTTACCTCCCCATCCTCAATGTAAACCAACTGATCTACTTGCCAGTCCCAGGGCAATTTGCACTTGCCAGTCTTCCATATTGACCATCGAGAAACCCCAAGCTCCGCAAGCCGTTCTGGAGGTACTTTTCTTTCCACCCTCACATTGTACAGTTCCTCCAGAGGTTTCTCTATCTCCATTGCCTTTATACCATGACACTGCCCAAGACTACTACGTGGCTTTCTACAATCTCTGCTGCTTCTTTTGGCGGAGAACGAGCTAAAGGTTGGAGATGTAATCACACTTGCCATAGCTAAGACAAAATTCCTGTGCCTTTATAACATATAGCACCTGGTCAAAATAACCAAAGTTACCTCCAAAGTTTCAATGTATATACAATCGTGATCACATAGTGAAAAGTATATTATCTAGTAAGCTACAATTTCAAAGAAGCATGTGCGCAGTCCTATGTGTGACATTAGAGTAAATGAATCATCTAGGCTATACTATTTAAGCGAGCCGAGAGTAAATGAATCATCTAGGAATACCATTTAAGCATGCAGAGATAGTATGAGTTGTGAGTTGCAACGTTCATATGTTTTTCAAACATAGCACAGCTTAAGCCCTGGATGAAACCTTTAAAATAAAACTTTGCTAAATTAATACTCAAACCAACAATTCCTTCCTCCAAGTACTTAGGGTAGGCAAAGTAATTTCTCCATATTTTCACTAAATCAATCACACAGGTAAAAGCATTTATTAACTGCACATCTGATGCTCCACCCACGCCGTATTGCTTTCGTTAATTATTTTTCTAAAAATTCAGCTTTTGTTATCTGTTTTGTTTTGTTTTACCTTTTTGGCTATTTCAGAAAAAACATTTGCATGATTTACAGAGGCCACGGCCTTAGATAGAGCAGAATGGAAATATAGGATTCTCGTAGCCAGACCAAAATAATTGGGAAAAGGCTTTGATGGTGGTTGTAGAAAAAACATTTGAATGATTTACTGTTAAAAAGGAGAAGTTTAAGCTAGAGCTTGAATTTAACTGAAGGAATGTCCAACTGGATAGAAATACAGTTGCGACCATCATCGAAACAATTTTCTACAACCAATTGAACCTTCAGTTTTCATTCATTGTTTTTAAAAAATCGTATGATTTGATTTCTCGACATCAAACTTCACTGGTATGCTGTTTAGGAGTTGGCAACACTCATACATTTTCATTACTACCAAACATTTTTGTTAAAGATGACTAATTTAACACCCATTACTTTTCAACAACAACAAAACACACACACACAAAACCCTAGAAAAAAGGGGTTCTTAAAATCAGTTGATCCAGTTATACCAAGACACAGAGAGAATTTAATAAACACAAATGCTCATATGTGTTAGGTACTAAACCACAAATAATATCCAAGAACCCAAAAGACAGAACTACGAATTTTGATGTGTAAGTAGACAAAAAAATGCTAACCTTTATGCTTCTAATTGGGTCGATTGGGATCGGCTTCGCTGATTCCAACCAAGAGAGCAAGATTGGGAAAATGGTTCTAAAACCCTAGAAGAGGGAGGTTTATCTTCTTCACTTTATCCAAATTGTCACTGCCCAATGTCCTGATACAGTCACCTGCTGTTGAAGACCTAGGAGTACAACTGCCCACGTGTCAATAATGTAGCATTAGTCTGATTTGGGCAGGACTTATCTTTGTTTCGTCTTATGGTTGATTCTATTACCCAAGGCCCAAGATTAGTCTGATTTGGGCTCTTATTGTTTCGTTTGATTCTTTAAGTTAGACCCAAGACTAGTCTGATTTGGGCCCGTTCTGCTATTACTCAGCGTCACTACTCCTATATCTCCTACATATATATATATATATACACATATATGTATATAGATATATGTGTATACATATAGTAAGTTTGCTTTACTGTGACCTGAAAGTTATGGAGCCGTACATCTAATACTTCGAGACCCTGTAATCCTAGTGTTGTTCAACTAACAAGGAGTATACATAAATATTTTATCTGCTCCAACAGGTACAAAAAACAGTTTTGAGGCAGAATGGGTTGCTTTAACGCATTGCAAGAAAATTTTTGATAACATGAATTCGATTTTTCTCCACAGTTGAATAACCCAAGAAGGTCACACGTTCTTTTGGTTTTTTTAGCCATTCTGACCTGATTATAAAAGTAAATACATTTATTGGTTTGTAGAGGTGCTTTCATAATCTTCATTGCCACAATATGTTTCTTGCACTCTCAACTGGTTTGGACTTACAGGACAGAAAAGATAGAAACATTAAGCTATATTACATTGAAATTGTGAAATGTTGTGCGTGTGTTTCAATTGAGATAAATTTACACCTAATGAAGGTCCAAACAGTAAATGTCATCACGTACCATATAAGCCAACTATTAATACAACAGACAGACTCTTATTTTCTTCAATACATGATACACCTTAAAGCAAACTATTAATACAACAACAGACGCTTATAAAATGCGTTATGGCTGCAGCCATTAGCACAATCATCAAACTCTATTTTACCAAGCATTGTGAGAAATAATTTAACGAATAAATCAGTTGGTCGTCTTCGCACCCATTTTTCTCGAAAGCTCTTTAATTAGAGTTCTCTCTTTCGTATTTTCTTCCCTTTCGAAATGCCATTTCTTTGACATGTCTTCGGCCTGATATCAGAAAGACTGAATTAGTTTGTATGCAAGGTAAGCAACTATCATGCAAGTATGAAACTTGGAATTATCTCACTCAGTTTCCTGATTTGACATACCCAAGTTCTTAAGGGGATTAGTTGCTCCTTAACCACGTCAAATCTTGGCTGAACCAGGTCTCTTCCTTTAGTTCGGATGTCATCACTCTGTCAAGTATAGCACAACTTCATGTAATTATATCACAAATTCCGACACATTGATAAAGACAATAAAGAAACTGTCACCAGAATTCTTAACAAAGTTGAGCTCCATTATTCCATTTTTATCATTGATCTTAGGATCACATACCGTTCATCCCTTGGTCCATTATTCCAGAAAAAATAAAAAATAAATAAAAATAATAAATAAAAATAGTTTACTGTATATACACAATGCAATTCCCTCAGTCACCCAGATGCAATTGAAAGATTGAACAAAGTGCTATTAGTTGAGGCTTTTCGGGACTTTAATTTCTCTGACCTAGTAACCAAAATTTCCTATATATATGTCTCCAGTAAGAGTAATATATACTCAATGACATGGAACAATCAAAAGTAAGAAACACTGGACAAGACTAAAGGTTCTCAGTGATTTTCAGAACATAATCATTTGAATTCTACCTTGAAATCATTTCAAAGCAATGAATGAATGATTTTCCACTATTAGTAATTGCAACAATCAGACTGTAATTAGCCAACTAAGATTCATGTCTCTTTTCCCCTTCAATTGTTTTTAATCTATATCCATTTTTAGTCAGTTACAAGAATTCATTGAAATAATCTGAACAATTTGTTCCACACATTGTATCAGCCTTGATGTATCTGAATCTTATATTGGATACAAATCTTTGCACAAACAATCGCAACATGAAAAACCAAATAATTCAATAACCAAATTAATTTAACGTTTAAACAAATTAGAGCACAAGTGTGTTAGTGACTGCATCCACACAATAAAAGGACTTGGATACCCTCCTTTTAATCATCATTACTAATTTTTGACATGTAGAAGTCCATGTTGTGGAAAAAGTTCAGGAATCAAGGTATGAATGCATGATTAATCATTTACTTACATTGCGCAACTCTAGCTTGGAGACTGCCAGTCCGAACATCAAGGTGGAACCACCAAAAACAATAGCAGTAGCAACAGCAAATGCCTTTGCAACTATGTCAAAGCGAAGAAAAATACCCGTCATTATGAGGCTTCAAGCAGAATTTCACTAGGTAAATTAATTATTGGGATTGTGCTTTTCTCTTAAATTTTACTACATGGACTTGAACACATAAGAACTGGTGCACAAAGAAAATGCAGAATGGACAAGATAATAATATCAATAAAACAAGAAAGTTATTGCTCACGGATAGAGTTGCTGGTATCACAACTCACAAGTAATTGCCAATTATATTGACTAATTAGCATTATGTTTTTCCACTTATACATAAAAAAATGTAATTTATATATAGCCCGTAAGTATTCTATTTTCATTTCATGTGTAACGAAAAAAACAAAAAATAAATAAATTGCTCTAAATTTTTTATTGAACAGCATCATGCATCTAAGATTCAAATGCAAAGCACAATATAGAAATTAACGTATGCTATGCTTTCCAGTAAAATATATATCAGTATAGGATCAAATAAAAATATGCTGATAGATCATAGAACACAGAGGATAGCTAGATCTATGCGAAATCCCCTCTTCCACGGGCAGACTCGGGAAGTTCAATTCAGGGCAGCCAAATTAATTGTATGAAAGAAAAAAAAAAAAACATTAATACAATATAAGACTCAATATAAATTCATAATACCAAATAAAATTTATGATAAGTTTCACTCATCAATGAAGAACATTGCATAACCCATTAAGTGCATACAAACGGTATGGATATGTAAAAATAATTACAAAACAAAGGTAAAAAAGGATAAAATAAGTATACTTTTAAATTGTGGTATTAGGTAATGTAACAAAAATCTAATGGAATCAGAAATATCAGCCAAAGTATGCTTCAAATCAGTTACTATAGCCGTGAAGTTTTTTAATCAATAGTAAATCAATCAAACTTAAACAATGATGTATTAGATAGATTATGAATAAATTTTAATCAATTTGAACATCTTGGTTATAACTGTATGCGGCTACCTGCCTGATTCATAAATTGGAGTTTGGGTTTATTAAAGAGAGAAGAGTGATGTAGATAACTTGGGTAACACAAAAAAGTCCCTAATAAAGGTCTCAACAACTCCCTATTGAGATTCTTCTTGGGTTTTGGGGGATCATAGAACAGAAAGGTGAGAACTATAGATGTGAAACAGGTTCAGGGGTGGTAATGGGGAGGATTAGTCAATTTTGGGTCAGATCGTAATTGGATCGAGTTGAACTTAGCATGAGAAGCTAATATTGTCAACTCAAGACTCATCTAGCCATCAAGTTTGTTGAGTTCTGAACAGGTTCGAGTTTATACAGAAATATAAATAGTTAAAAATGGTTTATTATTATCATTATTATTATTAACAGTGATCAAATATCCTTGAAGAAAAGAAATTTAGATCTACCAAATGAGAAGCATCGAAAGAGAAGACTGAAACTTACTTTGAGATAGCCCTATAGCTGCGGTCTTCAACTTCCCAGAATCAATGGGGGTGTACTTATCACGGCGCATGTCATTCGCAGTCGAGGCTAAAACTGAGTTTTCTGAATTGGGCAACATCCATCTGCATGTTATATGTGTTAATTGATCAAAAGCAATGTAACAAACAACTACTGAGGGAAAAGTTCAGTTTCCAATGAATTCTTCCATACAGTATCACTTATTTGTCAATAAATTTTATTTTTTAATCTAAAAGCAGTTTCAATAAGTCCAGAATTTACATGACAAATTGGTTTTTAGGAAAAACACATTTTCAAATTTCAATCGCAAGTATGTTTCTTCACTGAAATAAATAAATAAATATATATATAAAAGCCAAAATCCTAATTTTCACATGTGAGCCAAAATCAGCATTGAAACCAACATTTCTAATCCAAAAATACAAGTACATCTTCCAATAATTTCATGAAAACCTCAAATTCCACAGACAAGTTAGCTGTTTCTACATTATTTATTTGAATAAAACTAGGAAATTCTGAGAACCCCGAGTCTGATTAAACTAACCAAACTTGTAATCCCAAATAATCCAATATATCAGATAATACAAAAATATTGCAAGACTATGCACGCAAATATCCAAAGACTTGAATTCCACCATTTGTTTCTTTGAACCGTATGATAAATATAAGCAGAATATTATGCCATATACTTGAATTATAAGACATGCACTTGAATTATACCCCATATATTAAAACCCAAAATCTCAACTTTCACTCTCAATTCCCACATTTCCTGACCAACCAAGCAGATTGCTCAGAATTACCAAGCCAAACAATTTCTACGCGAACTTGGTTTTTTTGCACATTTTATCGGTTATCAACAAAATTTCTCACTTCAACAGAGCTAAATACCAACCTGAATTATGCCTAGAACATAAAAACCCAAAATCTGAATTTTATTTTCCTACCATTTCTGAGCAACCAAACAAAAGAGAATAATATAATAGGAAGCAAAAGAAAGAAGAGAAAGGACCTCTTTGGGCCAAAGGTGACCTGCGGAAGAGAAACGTAACCCCGAAGGGGGTTCAAGGCATCGCGCGACACAGAAGAGAAACCATTGTTGTGATCAGGGTGAAGAACCCATTTGGATGCAGTGGAGAGAGACGAATCAGACAGTGGTTGGAAGATCTTGGAAGGCAGATAGTGCCTCATAACCTCTGGAAGAATATCGGCTTGGGCTTCATTTTCAATTGACGAAGAAGAAGAAGGGTTCGAATTAGGCGACGAAGATGAAGATGAAGATGAAGAAGGAAGCTTTGTCTTGGTCTTCTGCACAAGACGGCCTACGGCGTGTTTGGATTCTTGCAAGAAATAGGCTCCCTCCGTCCCTGCTAATCTCCCCGCAAGGAAACTCATTCTCTCTCTTTCCCTTCCCAATTTCTGAATTGTTGATTCTATTTGTAACGTTGTAGTTTATATATATATATAGTTGTAATTGTTAGTCTATTCTCCTTGAGTTTTATGTAGCCCCATTTTTTTTTTTCTTTTTTTCTTTTTTTTTTTCGTAAGTGAGGTTTATTTAATTAAAAAGAAGAAAAAACAAGTTTATTTGTAGTCCTTCATAGAGGTGTGCCTTTCTTTTCTTTTTATTTATTTAGAAATTTTTTTTTCTTTAGTTTCTTTTGATTCTTCCTATTCAAAAACAAGACAAAATGTAAATAATTTTTTTATTTTATTTTATTTAGAAAAACTCATTATCCCTAGCATCACGGGGACTGATACGGATTAAAATCATCATATCACTCATTTAAGGAAATGTCATTTTATATTTTGATTTTTTTTCACTTCCAATAGTTTTGATAAAATTTTAAAATAAATATGGTGATAGAGTGAACCACCATAAACGAAAAAGTATGTGACTTTAAGTCCTATTTATTTATTTTTTATTATTATTATTTTAGACTATGTGTTTTGATCCCATAATATACGTATCATTTAAGTCGAGAATGTGATTTGAAAACGAGACCTCAAGAACTTATTTTTCGGTCCCTGTCAACGCAATTATACTCCTCGGTGGCACTGAATTTTTTCTAATTTACATTATTACCTATAATTTTAATTAAAATTTAAAAATGCCTCCAACAAGGGTGTTCTAGTGCGTTGTAGATTGTTTTAAAATGCCCCCTTCACATTTTTTGCTTCACTAATTTCTTTACTGTATTTTTTAAAAATTTATATTATTACCTAAAATTTTAGTTAAAATTTCAAAAATACCCCTTTTTAAAATGGCTCACTTCATAATTTTTTTTTTCAAATTTGCCTACAATTTTTATTTTTATTTTTATTTTTTCGATGATCCCCCCTCAAAATAATCCCTGGGTCCGTCATTGCCTTGGCCGACTTTAAGTCCTAATTGATACACCGTAAAATTGTAATAATAATAATAATAATAATATGATCAAATTTCAAGAGTAGTCAATATTTCTTTTGGTACAAGAAATCTGCTAGGAGTTTATTTTTCTTTTGGTACAAGAAATGTGCAATAAAATAAATTTTGTGAGCATTGAATTGTTGGCTTACGATAAGCATATGAATAATTAAAAACTGGAGGGAAATGAGAGTGTCAAACAGAGGAGATAAGACGATGTGCCCAAGTAGTGAAGCAAGTTGAATAAAATTATTTTGCCATGTAGAATAATATTATATAAGTTTAATTTCACCTACACTCCCTGATCTTTGACTACATTTTACTTACACTATCTTTAGGTTTCAATATTGCACCTACCTCCCTTCACTGTGACGGAGTTTACTTTATTAAACGGAATTATGTAATTTTACAATTTTGCCCATCAACTATATATTACTAATATTTATGAAAATTTAGAATTGAATCGAAAAGACAAAAACACCCTTCTTGTCTAACACTGAGCCTGGTACATAAACCACCATCTACTATCAAAACCTCCATTGCCACCATCCACAATCACCCTTGGCAAACAACACACTAGCAAACCCAAGATCTAATTGCCGAAAAAAACACACATACACACAACACAACCCCATCGCATCTATAGTTCCCGATTCGTGCAATCAGAAATAGAAGCAACTTGTAAGCAAAAGGTTTATATAGCATATATTATAAATAAATAGATATATATTTATATATCATTATCAGTATGCTCTCCACAATTCCCTTTTAGACAAGCACGAAGAGAAAAAAGAATCATCCAAAATATATATTCCAAAAGGTCTAGTCGAGAAGCAAGAGTTTAGTGTTCTACCATATATATTCAAAGCACTTGGTACCTTTTTCCAGTAGAAATTTAGAAACTTGGAATTACCACTGAAACATAGCAGACACCAAACGAAATTTCCCTAAGAGGACTGGAAGTACCAAAAAGCTTATTCTTGAAGTTAAAAAAAAAAAAAAAAAAAAAAAAAATGAAATGAAAGGGATAAACAATAGGACTCGTAAAGGAATACAATTTGCTCAGAAAACAGATACCTTTAAAGACCACCAGACTCATATCTATCACCTGACAATATTTTTCACCTCATCCAGAAAAGAGATCCACCCAACCCCATTAAACCCCCAAAAGGAAACCTTGACTTTATCACCAATAGAATCAAATCGATGGAAACGGGTCTGGATTTTCACGATGAGCAAGGATTGGTGTTGCAATGGTAAATGTGTTGTTTCGATTTGGTGGCTGTTGGTGACGATGAAGGAGGTGCCAGAATGTGCAGAGATCGCCAGACCAATTCTCGGACGAGTCAGCCTGGCCACATCACCACCAAAAGTGTCCATCATGATTTCAAGTACATCAGCACTTACCGTCGATTTTTTTGGAGGGTAATTTTGTAATTCTTTATTAGTCAATGAGGTTAAAGATGTCATTTTAAGTATTGACAGCATAAAATTGACCTTCTATCGAATTTTTTCTACTGACATCAGTACTTACTGTCAGTTTGTTAACTGCAGGGGTAGCTTGCTACATAAATCAAAAGGCTGGGGGTGTAGGTGAAATATTGAAACCTAAAAGAAGTGCAAGTGGAATATGATCAAAGGTTAGGGGTGTAAGTAAAATTAATCCTATTATATACCACTACTTACTTAAACATACATATATATTAGCAATGCAGTACGGACATTGCAAATATGTGGAGTGGTAATCTGAGGCATCAAGTATAGGAGTCAATATTAATTTTGAGGAAATATATATATATATATTAATTTTGAACAATTAATATTTTCGGTTTCTTACTCTATCTATTTTCTACTCTCTGCCATTTTAATTGTCTCTTTTTAGGAGTCTTAACTTTTTAAGATGATGATTTTTATTGTTTTTATTGTATTAGTAGTTAATTTTTATTATTTTATTGTATTTTTTTTTAGTTAAAAGGTAAGCATATTTTTATTGTATTAGTAGTTAATGAATTACAAATTTTACTTGGGTTGATAGTTTACTTTTTATAAATTTAATGTAAGAAGGTTAAATTAATAATATTACAAAATAAAATTAAAAATAAATTTATATATTGACTTTTTAAATGAGAAAATCATTTACGGATAAAAATAAAAAAGTGGACACTTATTTTGAAACGAATGAAGTATTTTATTTTATTTTTATTTTTATTTTTATTTTTTATAGGAAGATATAAATGAAGTATTTTATATATATATAATGGTGATAATGATCACCATCTCTGGTCCTCTACATAATATTTTGATGGGTCAGAGATATTCTCTTAAGCCAACATCAACGAAAGAGAGGGTTGAGATTTTTTTAGAAAGCTGAGATTTGTACAATGTTTGGTTAATAACTCTTTATTGACACAAATCATTAGAAGCTAATAAAGTATAAATTAAGGGATTGAAAAAAAAAAACGAAAAAGAGTAAAGTATAAATTAAGGAAAATGCTTGCTGGGCCGAATCAGTCTAAGCTAACAAGGCACAACAGACTAGTGGGCCTCACAATTCAGCCCAAGCGGCATGGCCATAAATCAATTGCAAGACATATGTAGTTCATGGGGAATTGAATCATTTGATACATATTTTAACTGTTTGTGTTGACACAAATTTTGAAGGGGCATTGTTCCGTAACTCAAATTGATAGAATATCCAGCTCTTTGAACAGGAGTATTTTGATTTTCCCTTATTAAATAAATAAATAAATGTTTTATAAATTGTGGACTAGTAACTTAAGTCTTTACTCTTTAACAAAAGATATAGGAATCAGTGATGGAACCAACATGGGCCTAGAGAGCGCTTGACCCTTGGCCTTCTTAAACGTTACTATTTTTTTTTTTTGCTTTTTATACCTCTAGCTCATTAAGTTTATACAAAATGCCTGGCCTTAATTACCCCCCTCCCCCTTTTTTTATATCACAATATATGAGTGGAGTTTTAGGTCTAGTTTGTTCGGCTTGAATGAAATGGAATGGGCCATTCCAACCATTTTCTTATTTAGTATGACATTTAGAGTACGAATGACAATTCCCTTAAATTGATGGAATGAAAATGAAATTTATGACCATCACAACCACCACCTTCCGCCGCCGCCTTCCACCACCACCACAACCATCGTCTTCCGCCGCTGCTCTCCACTATCGTTTTTGTTGCTACCGCCTCCACCACCTTTCACCGCCACTGCCACCTTCCATTACCATCTACCGTTTTCCACCACTTTTATCATCGTCGCCTTCCACCCCATCAATTAAATAAGTGATTATCATTTCATTTCTACATCATTTCATAATTGCAACCAAATAACAGAATAAGAATAATCATTTCATTTAATTTCCATTTTCATTTAATTCCCAACATCATTTCATTCCATTCCATTCTCTTCCTCTATACCAAACTAGGCCGTAAATAATTTGCGCACAATATACATACCCTTTTTCTTTTTCTTTTTTCTTTTTTCACGTGATCGAGTTAGCTCATACGGAGCATTTTATGAAGAAGTTTGAATTGAAAAAAATATTAAAAGTGTCCATCGAGTTTTAAAACCACTTTATTGTCAAACATCAATTGAAATAATATATAAGGGCATAAAGAGTTTATCTTATTGATAATTGTATAACAATTCTTTTTGAACAGTACTTATTAAAAAGCCAAAAAAAAAAAAAAAAAACGAATTGTGAATCATATCATTTTTTCAAAAAAAAAAAATCATATATCATTACTCCTTTGAATTTTATATTATGGGAGAAATTTGTCTATGTGGAGCGGGATTCAATAAAATGTAGTTGACTAAAAATTACAATATGATACCTTTTTTAAAAAAAGGATGGAGTACTTTTAGAAAAAATGGATCACCAAGAACTGTTCTCTCTCTCTCTCTCTCTCTCTCTATATATATATATATTTCCACCTGTTCTCTCTATATCATTAATATAAATAGGGAACCTCAAAAGGCAGTTGTGGCTCTGGGCAGGTTTGCTAATGGTGCGTGGGGCTGGTATTT